CCCGGTGTTACAGTGAGACTATAACCAGGGGGTTTGTTTACATGAGACTTAACCAGTGTTTACAGTGAGACTTAACCAGGTGTTACAGTGAGACTTAACCAGGTGTTACAGTGAGACTTAACCAGGTGTTACAGTGAGACTTAACCAGGTGTTACAGTGAGACTTAACCAGGTGTACAGTGGAACTTAACAAGGCTTGTTACAGTGAGACTTAACCAGGTGTTACAGTGAGACTTAACAATGTGTTACAGTGAGACTTAACCATGTGTTACAGTGAGACTTAACAAGGTGTTACAGAGAGACTTAACCAGGAGTTTACAGGTGAGACTTAACCATGTGTTACAGTGAGACTTAACCAGGTGTTACAGTGGAGACTGTAACCAGGTGTTACAGTGTGACTTTAACCAGTTGTTCATTGAGATTAACCAGGTTTACAGTGAGAACCTTAAACAAGGTGTTAGCAGTGAGACTTAACAAGGTGTTACAGTGAGACTTAACCAGTTACACAACCCAGGGCAACATGGGTTTAGAACAGGTCGCTCCTGTCTGTCCACTACTGGATCACTACGAACAATGTCCTAATGCACTAATACAAAAAGAAAATGCAGATGTAAATTACAGACTTTGCAAAAGCTTCGACAAGTGTGACCACAGTGGCGTAATAGCGCACAAATGCTCGCTAAAGGAATAACAGGAAAAGTCGGTCGAGGTCTATAATTTCCTCACAAACAGAACACAAGAGTATTCGTCAACAGAGTAAAGTCCGAGGCAGCTACGGTGAAAAGCTCTGTTCCACAAGGCACAGTACTAAGCCCCTCCCATCTTAGTTCTCATCCTCATATCCGACATAAGACAAGGATGTCAGCCAACACCGTGTCTTCCTTTGCAGATGGACACCCGAATCTGTCATTGACAGAGTCTTCCCATTGCAGACACTGCAAGGCTCCAGGCGGACATCTACCAAATCTTTCAGTGGGGGGGCTGCAGAAAACAATATGAAGTCAACGATGAGAAATTTCAATTACTCAGATATGGTAAAATGAAGGAAATTAAATCTTCCATCAGAGTACAAAACAAATTCTGGCCACAAATAGAGCGAAACACCAACGTCAAAGACCTGGGAGTATTATTCGAGGATCTCACCTTCAAGGACCATAACCATTGTATCAATCGCATCTGCCTAGAAAAATGGACAGAGGGATAAATGAGAACCTTTGCAAAACTAGGGAGGCCAGCCCATATGACCACTCTTGCAGGTCACTGTTCTAACTACTTGGGGGGGGGCAAAAAAAAGGTAAGGGAATATTGCTGCACTCTAACAAAGCACCTTTCAAGGCAGTGAAATTGCCGACCTAAGAAAATGTACAGAAACTTGACGGCGCGCATAACAGATAAAACACTCAATTACTGGAGCGCTTGAGGTTTCTAAACCTGTATTTCCCGGAACGCAGGATGTAGAGATACATGATTATATACAACCCTGGAAAATCCTAGGAGGGACTAGTACCGAACTTGGCACACGAAAAATCACTCACTACGATAGCAAAGACTTGGCAGACGATGCACCATCCCCCCAATGAAAAGCAGGGTGTCACTAGCACGTTAGAGACCATACAATAAGTGTCAGGGGCCGAACTGTTCAACTGCCTCCCAGCACACATAAGGGGGATTACCAACAGACCCCTGGCAGTCTTCAAGCTGGCACTGGACAAGCAACCTAAAGTCAGTTCCTGATCAGCCGGGCTGTGGCTCGTACGTTGGCTTGCGTGCAGCCAGCAGCAACAGCCTGGTTGATCAGGCGCTGATCCACCAGGAGGCCTGGTCACAGACCGGGCCGCGGGGGCATTGACCCCCGAAACTCTCTCCAGGGTAAACTCCATAACAGTGGAGACTTAACAAGGTGTTACAGTGAGACTTTTAACCAGGTGGTTACAGTGAGACTTTAACAAGGTTGTTACAGTGAGACTTACCAGGTTGTTACAGTGAGACTTAACCAGGTGTTACAGTGAGACTTAACCAGGTGTTACAGTGAGACTTAACCAGGTGTTACAGTGAGACTTAACCAGGTGTTACAGTGAGACTTAACAAGGTGTTACAGTGAGACTTAACCAGGTGTTACAGTGAGACTTAACCAGGTGTTACAGTGAGACTTAACCAGGTGTTACAGTGAGACTTAACCAGGTGTTACAGTGAGACTTAACAAGGTGTTACAGTGAGACTTAACCAGGTGTTACAGTGAGACTTAACAAGGTGTTACAGTGAGACTTAACCAGGTGTTTATAGGAGACCTTAACAAGGTGTTTTCAGTGAGAACTTAACAAGGTGTAACAGTGAGACTTAAACCAGGTGTTACAGTGAGACTTAACCAGGTGTTAACAGTTGAGACTTTAACCAGTGTTACAGTGAGACTTAACCAGGTGTTACAGTGAGACTTAACCAGGTGTTACAGTGAGACTTAACCAGGTGAGTGAGACTTAACCAGGTGTTACAGTGAGACTTAACAAGGTGTTACAGTGAGACTTAACAAGGTGTTACAGTGAGACTTAACCAGGTGTTACAGTGAGACTTAACCAGGTGTTACAGTGAGACTTAACCAGGTGTTACAGTGAGACTTAACCAGGTGTTACAGTGAGACTTAACCAGGTGTTACAGTGAGACTTAAACCAGTGATGAGACTTAACAAGGTGTTTACAGTGAACTTAACCAGGTTTACAGTGAGACTTTAACCAGGTGTTACATTGAGACTTAACAAGGTGTTTACAGTGAAACTTAGACCAGGTGGAGTGGAGACTTTAAACCAGGTGTTACAGTGAGACTTACCATGTGTTACAGTGAGACTACCAGGTGTTACAGTGAGACTTAACCAGGTGAGTGAGACTTAACCAGGTGTTACAGTGAGACTTAACCAGGTGAGTGAGACTTAACCAGGTGTTACAGTGAGACTTAACCAGGTGTTACAGTGAGACTTAACCAGGTGTTACAGTGAGACTTAACCAGGTGTTACAGTGCGACTTTAACAAAGGTGTTACAGTGAAACTTAACCAGGTGAGTGAGACTTAACCAGGTGTTACAGTGAGACTTAACCAGGTGTTACAGTGAGACTTAACCAGGTGTTACAGTGAGACTTAACCAGGTGTTACAGTGAGACTTAACCAGGTGTTACAGGGAGACTTAACCAGGTGTTACACTGAGACTTAACCAGGTGTTACAGTGAGACTTAACCAGGTGTTACAGTGAGACTTAACCAGGTGTTACAGTGAGACTTAACCAGGTGTTACAGTGAGACTTAACCAGGTGTTACAGTGAGACTTAACAAGGTGTTACAGTTAGATTTAACCAGGTGTTACAGTGAGACTTAACCAGGTGTTACAGTGAGACTTAACAAGGTGTTACAGTGAAACTTAACCAGGTGTTACAGAGACTTAACAAGGTGTTACATTGAGACTTAACAAGATGTTACAGTGAGACTTAACAAGGTGTTACATTGAGACTTAACAAGATGTTACAGTGAGACTTAACAAAGTGTTACAGTGAGACTTAACCATGTGTTACAGAGACTTAACAAGGAGTTTAAGTGAGATTTTAACCAGGTGTTACAGTGAGACTAACCAGGTGTTAAAGTTGGTCCTTAACAAGGTGTTACAGTTAGACTTAACCCAGGTGTTACAGTGAGACTTAACCATGTTGTTTACAGTGGAGACTAACAAGGTGTTACAGAAGACTTAACCAGGTGAGTGAGACTTAACCAGGTGTTACAGTGAGACTTAACAAGGTGTTACAGTGAGACTTAACAAGGTATTACAGTTAGATTTTAACCAGGTGTTACAGTGAGACTTAACAAGGTATGTTACAGTTAATTAACCAGGTGTTTACAGTGAGACTTAACCAGGGTGTTACAAGGGGAAAAAAACCTTAACCAGGTGATACAGTGAGACTTAACCAGGTGTTTACAATGAGATTTACAAGGTGGTACAGTGAGACTTACCAAGGATGTTACAGTGAGACATAACAAGGGTTTACAGTGAACTAACCAGGTGGTTACGAGACTTAACATGGTGTTACAGTGAGACTTAACCAGGTGTTACAGTGAGACTTAACAAGTGTGTTACAGTTAGATTAACCAGGTGTTTACAGTGAGACTTAACAGGTGGTTACATTGAAACTTTAACCAGATGATACAGTGAGACTTAACCAGGTGTTACAGTGAGATTTAACAAGGTGTTACAGTGAGACTTAACAAGGTTTTACAGTGATACTTAACAAGGGTGTTACAGGTGAGACTAAGCAAGGTGATACAGTGGACTTAACCAGGTGTTACAGGAGAACTTAACAAGGTGTTACAGTGAGACTTAACAAGGTGTTACAGTGAGACTTAACCAGGTTTACAGTGAAACTTAACAAGGTGTTACAGTGAGACATAACCAGGTGTTACATGAGACTTAGACCTGTGTTACAGCGAAAACTACCATGGTTACAGTTAGATTTAACCAGGTGTTACAGTGAGACTTAACAAGGTGTTACAGTGAGATTTAACCAGGTGATACAGGGACACTTATCCAGGTGTTATAGTGAGATTTAACCAGGCGTTACATTGACACTTAACCAGGTGTTACAGTGAGATTTAACCAGGCGTTACAGTGAAACTTAGCCAGGTGTTACAGTGAAACTCAACCAGGTGTTAGAGTGAGACTTAACAAGGTGTTACAGTGAGACTTAACAAGGTGTTACAGTAAGACTTAATCAGGTGTTACAGTGAGACTTAATCAGGTGTTACAGTGAGACTTAATCAGGTGTTACAGTGAAACTTAACCAAGTGTCATAGTGAAACTTAACCAGGTGTTGCATTGAGAATGAACCAGGTGTTACGAGATTCCCAGGTGACGTAAATCACAACATTAAGCTGTAGTATTCACATTTTATTATTATAATCAAAAAGAAGCGCTAAACCCACTAAGGTCATATAATATACACAACATATGAGAACGTTGTTATCTGTTACAGGTGATTATCACTCACGGTCACCCACACTGAGGTTCAGCAAGGGTGAAGAAGTGACGATTCCAGTGGTCAAAATCAACCAGGGTCTGCCCGATGAGGTGTACATTAAGAAAGTGCCAGATAATTGGTCAAGTAACACTAGTAAGCTGCCATCTCTCCAACTTGGACCAGCCCAACGCCACCACACTGGTGTATACCTCGTTCATTCTGACGTTCGTACCAACAGAGGAAGCTTTTGAACGGGGATTACTTCGATGTCATGATTCCGAGTATGTGGAGGCAACCGTGAAGTTTTAATATGGTGCTAAGAAGTGTGTTTGAAGTATTGGTAGGTTGGAATAAGTGGGTGTAGGTGGTGGTAGTAGTAATGGGTAATGGATACTATTGGTGGTGGTGATGAGTAAATGACACACACTTCTGCCAAACATCTCACATAAGCAGACTTTCTCTGCTTCCCAGATATTCACTGTACTGGTTCATCGTTATCGTTCTTTTCAACTCGTCTGTTATTTACATGCATTAGGAATGGACTAATAAATCTGCCTTATTTTCAAATTAAAGTGCCTTATCATGTTTAATATTTAAATCCATACTAAACCCATGCAGACCATCATGTACATTAGTTGACGGGGCATTCTGAGTCAGCAGATTTCTGATGTTTGTTCGAAGCAACTGCATCAGACGATCACTGACAACAGTGTATTGTTATATTCATAGCCAGAATTGATGGTGTCAAGAAGTATAACTACTGATACACACAGCTCTCTTGTTGGCCAGTGAAACCTGTAGTTGTAGTACACATCTTCCAGAAAGTTAAGATAAGACTTACTTCGGGTTTTTACCCCGAGGGTTTGCCACCCAGGATAACCAAGGAATGTCATTGCGTCATCGAGGACTGTTCTAACTTATTTCCATTGGGTCTTAATACTTGTCCCCCAGGATGCTACCCACACCCAGTCGACTACACCCAGGTACTTGCTGCTAGGTGAACAGGACAATCAGGTGTAAGGAAACGCGTCGGAATGTTTCCACCTGCCAGAGTCGAACCCGGGCCTCCGTGTGTGAAGCGTGAGCCTTTATCCACCGGGCCACTCCTCCAATACCAGTTTCCAGTATGGCATATTTGTTTTCCTCTTTATTCATGCCAGCAGACTTGAGGGAGAGGAAAGTGGGAGAGAGCCGTAATCTAGGTAGCAGTATGTACTGTATAGTTTTTTCTCACAGGTAACCTCGGTGTTGACTTTAAATTCTCTGTTACTTCTTTCCTGTGTGTTCCACGATTCCTACACCTTACGCAATGTTAGTTCTGTATAACCCATATGGTTTAGTGCTTATTTTAATAAAGTTAATAGAAATAATAATAGCATACAATAAAATGTTAAGCCTTTTTAATTATATTCTTGATTGTATAAAATAAAATTTAAGTATGAGTGTGTGTTACAGAATGCGTGTAGGATAAGTATGGTGAACACTGTAGTGATCAGTGTCCAAAGTGTCTACACGGAGACATGCCACTCCAGACTGGCACCTGTGTCTGTCTCCTGGGCTTATCATAGGTGGGACACCTGTCAGTAGGTGATTCTTATTATCTAATTTTTCTCCAATCTCCTTTCAGTCAGCTTGTACCTGCATGTATGTTTGTTATTTTGTTTGCACAACTTAAAAAGTACAAATAACTTTGCAAGTTTTCTAACACTGAAAAAAAAATTCACAAGTTTTAACATTTTTACATCGAGACTTGTAATATTAAAATAATGTTCTCTTTATTTATTTTTACTAAATCAATAAAGTTCGTACTTCATAACCTTTCCTGTAACAGTGTATCCTGCTTATTATAATACAGAGAGTTGCGTGAGTATGAATGAGTATGGAAGTTAGTTAGTTTACTATGTTTATTATGCAACCCCTACCCATCCTGTGGGCGGTAGTCAAAAGATACAGAGGTACAAATTGGAGTATGGAAGTTGTTAGTTAAGTTTTAATATGTTTAATATCACCCCATACCCATCCTTGGCGTTAGTCAAAAGATTACAGAGGTAATTAATTGGTCCAGGGACTGGCTCCAAAGTTTTGAAGCTAAGCAATTACAGAGGCAATGAACTCACAATTAACAAAGGTAACGAACTCACAATTTACAAAGGTAATGACCTCACAATTTACAAAGGTAATGACTCCAGGTAAGTCTGGTCTACAATCATGACAGATTACAAAGGTATTTACAGATTACAGAGGTACGTAATGGGTCCAGGGTACTGGGCCCCCAAAGTTTTGATAGTCTGACAGGTACAAAGGTAATGAGCTCAGAAGTTACAAAGGTAATAATTCTGTAGATGTTACTTACGTTTATACTTTGTCTACAATATGGAACAAATATATGCGAGTATGATGCAATTCACACTTCCACACCCGTCACAACTGTAATGATTATTGTGCAAATATTGATTGTTGATCATATGTATGGAAGAAGTGAATGTTCTTCAGATATTTTGGGATTGACGGTCGGCGATGGATTTATGAGGATGATGTTAATCATAGAATTGATGAAGGAAAAAAAGGTGAGTGTGCGGTTGAGGTATATGTGAGACAAAAAACGTTATATATGGAGGCAAAGAAAGTGGAAAGTTATGAAAGTATAGTGGTACCAACACTGTATATGCGTATGAAGCTTGGGGTTGTAAATGCTTCAGCGAGGTTTTCGAAACAATTAAACAAAAAAGGCAGCTTCACCATCTCCGAAGTCTTAGCAAGAATCCTCCTGAAAACAGTAAACCCTGCCATCACATAGTCCTCTCCTGTTATACTACACAAAGCACAGAGAGTGAACACTGAAACAAGCTGCCTCATTCCAGTTTATATTTGTCCAACCTATTTTTATGTTACCCAAGTAATAGCTTTTATATCCTTTTACTCATGTACGAATTAATTGCTCTACCATATTGTATTACTTTTGTCACTACCACCACTACTACTACTACTAACTCTACTACTACTACTATACCACTAGTGAACATCGAAATGGTACCTCACTATATTCACCTCACTCTGAGCCTTTATATACCCTCTGTGTCCATGTATTGTTTGTAATGGCTTGATAAAGCTCCTGGAGAGCGAAACGTTGCCACAATAAATGTCACATTAGTTGCACTTGTGTCCTTTTACTTTACACCTCTAATCTTACACTCATCCCCTCTAATCTTACACCCATCACCTCTAATCTTACACCCATCTGTTTAATGCGATTATTTGGTAGGCTGTTGCGGGTGCGTGAATGCTAAATCTTCGGAGGCTTCTTACTTTATTTGCAAAGTCTTGGTGGGTACACAGGTTTGTGTGTTGTGCCCGTGGCCCGGGTAGGGCCATCCCACGAGAGGAGAGAGCTACTAGGCCTTCTGTCTTGCTGCTAGGCCGCTGAGAGAGTGAGTGAGTGTGGGACCAGCATCCCACAGACTTTGGGCTGGCCCAGAGGGCAGCACCTTAGTGGCGCGAAATATGAACTAAGCTGGCAGACAGCATAGGCTGTCTGTGCAGACAATACAGGCTGTCTACATACGCTCGGCCACCTACCTCGCGTCGTCCCGACGCGACAATACTGGTGGTAAAAAAAAAAAAACTCGGTCTCTCTCTCATAGGAACAGGGCACAGAACACAAAATAAAAACATATATATACATATGGACATGAAAAAAGAAAACTTCCTACAGGGAGTGAAGAAAAAAACACGTGGGGTGTGCTAAACATCGTGGTCATAGGCAGTGAGCGTCGAAGGGCATCACTGCACGCCTTCCTGCGTCTGGACAGATACTGCAACACAGGAGACATCGCTGCGGCTGAGCTGTGACGTAACAGGTTACGGTCTCCTCTAGAACGGTGAAGCAGTCATCGTAGGAGTCGCTGCAGGTTTCACTCAACCTGGGGCAAGAGATGCTGGTGCCCTCGAGTGAGGCGTCGTCAAAACTCGGCAACTGGGCAGGACTTCTGGCAAGCGACTCAGGAGGACACTTCTCGACTGGTACTGTCGCTGGGCTGTCACTGCCAGCGAGCGTAGAGCGAGTCGTGGCAGAGACGACTGGGCGAAACATCTGTGAGTCGTAACATCATACACCAGACTCCAGTGAGCACGTCTTCGGAGGCTTCTTACTTTATTTGCAAAGTCGTAGTGGGTACACAGGCTTGTGTGTTGTGCCCATGGCCCGGGTAGGGCCATCCCACGAGAGGAGAGAGCTACTAGGCCTTCTGTCTTGCTGCTAGGCCGCTGGGAGTGAGTGTGGGATCAGCATCCCACAGACTTTGGGCTGGCCCACAGGGCAGCACCTTAGTGGCGCCAAATATGAACTAAGCTGGCAGACAGCATAGGCTGTCTGTGCAGACAGTACAGGCTGTCTACACATCACCTCTAATCTTACACTCATCACCTCTAATCTTACACTCATCACCTCTAATCTTATACTCATCACCTCTAATCTTACACTCTTTCACCTCTAATCTTACACTCATCACCTCTAATCTTATACTCATCACCTCTAATCTTGCACTCATCACCTCTAATCTTATACTCATCACCTCTAATCTTACACCCATCACCTCTAATCTACACTCATCACCTCTCATCTTACACCCATCACCTCTAATCTTACACCCATCACCTCTAAATCTTACACCCATCACCTCTAATCTTACACTCATCACCTCTAATCTTACGCTCATCACCTCTAATCTTATGCTCATGACCTCTAATCTTACACTCATCACCTCTAATCTTATACTCATCACCTCTAAATCTTACACCCATCACCTCTAATCTTACACTCATCACCTCCTTCCTTGTTCTTCACTTATCATTAACTAACATATAAATAAACCCTGCACTAATTGCTCCTCATTCAAGCAGCAGTTCAACTTTATCAGTTAATGTTATCGCTTGTCAGCGGATGAGTCTATGAAAGATGACGTGAACCATAAAACTGACTTGGAAAATAAGGTGGGTAGTGCATCCAGGCATCTGTGGGGCAAAGAACTTTATCCATGGAGGCAATAATAATAATGATAATGATAATAATAATAATACATAATAATAATAATAATAATAATAAATAATAATAATAATAAATAATAATAATAATAATTTTTTTTTTAACAAGGAAATGATACAAATTATACAGACCAAATCTGAGAACAGTGACATACCGTATAGAATAACCCTTTTTTTTATGCAGATCATTTCGCCAAGGTTAGGTTAAATTTATCCCCAGATGCGACCCCACACAGTTGATAACTCCCAGGTACCGGTTTTACTGCTAAGGTGAAGAGGAAAGCAGGTTGTTTAAGGAAACACTCCAGTGTTTCCACATGTTTACTGCGGATTCGACCAGAGTTATTACTGCACCAACATAATTATATGGGTGTGAAAATACCTGGAGTTTTAAACATTGCACCCAGGAAAGACTGTGGTAGTAGAGATAACATGTTTGAGGTCTTTGGAGTGTTGTGGATACCGAAGAATGTGAGATAGAAAAGATTTGGGGATACCAAACATATGGTTCAGTAGGGTTGAGGAAGAAGTTGGGCCTTTACCCAGGAAGTTACCTGGAGGGGGTTTTCAGGGGTCAACGGCCCCCGCGGCCCGGTCTGAGCAAGGCCTCATGGTGGATCAGGGTCTGATCAGCCAGGCTGTTATGCTGACAAGAGAGTTGAATAAGTTGAGAATTTGATAACTAAGAGAGTGGCTATAAATTCTGAGTAGTGGAAGGAAGGAGGGGTTAGGAGTTGTCCTAGGAAAGGTTGAAGGAAGATGGTAAAGGAGGGTTGAATTGACAAGGCCTGGAACATTAAACCGAACATGTGTGTGGGCGTCAGATCAGTGAGAATGGAGGTAGGGAGTGTTGAAGGACTTTTGACCCGCTTTAAAGTCTGAGCAAGGTAATATATATGAAGGAATTTAGGATAAACTGGTGAGCCCGACTTGAGTACTGGAGACGGAAAGTACAGTGACTACACTCTGAAGGAGAGGGCGAGGATGCTGCGGTGATTAATGACCAGCATGCTAATGGACAAAACAATGATTGGTTGAATGATGGTAAATGTGGTTCCTCTATTTTTTTTCTATTCCCTAGGTAATAGGTTGGTAGACTGGCAGCTGCCAGGAGCGTACTACCGTCCTGCCCAAGTGAGTGTATTTAAACGGAACACCTGTATTGTTTTATATGATGTAGGATTGCTTTGGTGTCTTTTTTTGTCTCTTATATATGTAACGGTTTCAGGTAAGGTGATCCCAGTGGGATATCCTGGGTTCTCTGCACATATACTCTACGTATTGATATCTATGTAACATATATTCCGATAATGAAACAGTATACCATAGTCTATGGTGATCAGGTTCCGGATCCACCATGAGGCCTGGTCACAGACCGGGCTGCGGGGGCGTTGGCCCCCGATCCCTCCTAGGATTAAACTTACTTAGACTTGCTACTTCTACTTACTACTTAGGTACTCGCTATCACATACATGTACAAGCATATATATGGCACACCCCTCTGCTTTCTTCTATTTTCTTACTAGTTCTTGTTTCTTGTTTATTTCTCTTTTCTTCATGGGAAGTGGAAACTGAATTTTCCTCCGTAAGCCATAGTGTCATAAGAAGCTACGAAAGTGTTGCCGGGTAGCAAGGGGCTAGTAACCCTTCTCTGTATATATTAACTAAATTTAAAAGTTAAACGTGTTTTTCTTTTTGGACTACCCTCGCCTGGGTGGGATAAGACCGGATTGTTGAAGATGATTTATCTATCTGATAGTATTCTTAAACTTTTAACTATTGATCATAATTCCATTATATAATTTACCCTTGAACTACCTATTGTATAAAAATATTAATGCATTAACAATAAGTATTGTAAGAATTAAGTTACCAGGGTGATAAATGTCTTATTTTGAGACCTTTTTTCCAGTAGCCAGATATAGCTTAGTCAGCCCCAGTCACATCTCCTGCCTCTGTAGACTTAAGTAGTTATTATGTACTAGGATTAGTCTGCCCACATGCCCCGGCATGATTAGTGAGCCTTTCTTTGCCCCCTATACCTGGGACCCGCTCTATGACTAGGCCTCATGGTGGATCAGTGCCTGATCAACTAGGCTGTTACTGTTGGCCACATGCAACCCAACGTACGAACCACAGCCCGGTTGGTCAGGTACTGACTTTAGGTGCTTGTCCAGTGCCTTCTTGAAGACTGCCAGGGGTCTATTGGTAATCTCCCTTATGTATGCTGGGAGGCACTTGAACAGTCTTGGGCCCCTTGGCACTTACTGTGTTGTCTCTTATCGTGCTAGTGGCGCCCCTGCTTATCATTGGGGGAATGTTACATCGTCTGCCGAGTCTTTTGCTTTCATAGGCAGTGATATTCGTGTGCAAGTTTGGTACTAATCCCTCTAGGGTTTTCCAAGTGTATATGATCGTGTATCTGTCCCGCCAGCGTTCTAGTGAGTACAGCTTGAGGATCTTCAAGCGTTCCGTAATTGAGGAATTTTATTGCAGTTATGCCGGCGTGAAGGTTCTCTGTACACTTTGTAGGTCAGCCAATTTCACCCTGCCTGAAAGGTGGTTTATGTGTGCAGCAATATTCAGCCTAGATAGAACAATGTGGACCTGAAGAGTTGTCATCATGGGCTTGGACTCCCTAGTTTTGAAGGTTTTCGCTTTATCCATCCTGTTCATTTTTACTAGCAGATACGATTGATACAATGTTGTGCGTCTTTTGAAGGGAGTGAGATCTTCTGACATGATTCACTACCAGGTCTTTACATTGTTTTTTCGCGTCTATTATGTGGTTGGAATTTGTTTTATATTACGATATAGTTTTAATTTCTCACTTTTCCATACGGAGTAATGAAATTTCTCCATCATTGAACTTCATATTATTTTCTGCGGCTCATTAAAGATTTGGTGTGATGTTCGCCCTGGCGTCTTGTGGTGTCTTCGATGGAGGACACTGTCATGTCAAATCGGGTTGTCATCCTGCCAAAGGAAGATATGGGTGCTGTGGTTTACATCTCTATGTCAGATATGAGGATGAGGAACAAGATGGGAGCGAGTACTGTGCCTTGTGGAACAGAGCTTTTCACCGTAGGCGCCTCAGACTTTGCTCTGACCAACATTTCCTGTTATTCCTGTATCACGTATTTTGTGCGCTAGTACGCCATGGTCACATTTGTCAGAAGCTTTTGCAAAGTCTGTGTATACTACATCTGCATTTTCTTTGTCTTCTAGAGCATCCAGGACCTTGTCATAGTGGTCCAGTAGTTGGGACAGAATGAGTGACTGTGTCTAAACCGTGTTGCCCTGGGTTGATTTAAATGTGGGTGGTGATCTTGCTTCTTAGAACCCTGAACAAATCAATATTGTTTTTATACTTTTATATGAACCTTGAACGAAATAAAATATTTAATCTTTAAACGTTTACAGCGAGACTTAACCAAGGTGTTACGTGAGACTTAACCAGGTGTTACAGTGAGATCTTAACAAAGGTGTTACTCAGCTGAGACTTAACAAGGTGTTACGTAGTCGAGACTTAACCTCTAGCGGTGATACAGTGAGACTTAACCAGTGTTACAGTGAGACTTAACAAGGTGTTTCAGTGAGACTTCTTAACCAGGTGCTTAATGTGAGAACTTAACCAGAGTGTTACAGTGAGACTTAACCAGGTGTTACAGTGAGACTCTTAAACCAGGTGTTACAGTTGACTTAACACAGGGTTACAGTGAGACTTATCTCAGGTGTGTACAGTGAGACTTAACCAGGTGTTGACAGTGAGGACTTAACATGTGTTACAGTGAGACTTAACCGGTGTTACCGTGAGGACTTATCCAGGTGTTACAAGTGAGACTTAAATCCAGGTGTTACTCAGTGAGGGACTTAACCAGGTGTTACAGTGAGACTCTAGACCAGGTTGTTACAGTGAGGACTTAACCCAGGTGTTACAGTGTGACTTAACCAGGTGTTACAGTGAGACTTATCCAGGTGTTACAGAGATGAGACTTAACCAGGTGTTAACAGTGAGACTTAACAGGTGTTACAGTGAGACATACCAGGTGTTACAGTGAGACGTAAAACGGTGTTACAGTGAGACTTAACAGGTGTTACAGTGAGACTTAACCAGGTGTTACAGTCAGACTTAAACCAGGTGTGGTGTACAGTGAGACCTTAACCAGGTGTTACAGTCAGACTTAACCAGGTGTTACAGTCAGACTTAACCAGTGTTGTGAAGTGAGGACTTGAACCAGAGTGTTACAGCTCTCAGGATTAACCAGGTGTTACTGTGGGACTTAACAAGGTGTTACAGTCAGACTTTAACCAGGTGTTACAGTGAGAACTTAACCAGGTGTTACAGTGAGACTTAAACCAGTGTTACAGTGAGACTTAACCAGGTGTTACAGTGAGACTTAACCAGGTGTTACAGTGAGACTTAACCAGGTGTTACAGTGAGACTTAACCAGGTGTTACAGTGAGACTTAACCCGGTGGTACAGTGAGGACTTAACCAGGGTGAGTTACAGTGAGACTTTAAACAGGTGTTACAGTGAGACTTTACCAAGGTGTTTACAGTGAGGACTTAACCAGGTGTTACAGTGAGACTTAACCAGGTGTGACTAAGTGAGACTTAACACCAGGTGTTACAGTCAGACTCTTTACCCAGGTGTTACAGTGAGAGGCTTAACCAGGTGTTACAGGAGATTAACCAGGTGTTACAAGTCAGACTTAACCAGGTGTTACGCAGTCAGGACTTAACAGGTGTTACAGGTGAGACTTCAACCAGGTGTTACGTGTGGACTTAACAGGTCGTTACAGTGAGATTAACCCAGGTGGTAAAGTGAGAGACTTAACCAGGTGTTACAGTGAGACTTAACCAGTGTTACAGTGAGACTTAACCAGGTGTTACAGTGTGGACTTAACCAGGTGTTTACAGTGAGACTTAACAAGGTTGTTACTGTGAGATTATCCAGGTGTTACAGTGAGATTAACAATGTGGTTAACGTGAGGACTAACCAGGTTGTTTACAGTGTAGGACTAACAAGGTGTTACGTGAGACTTAACCAGAGGTGTTTACAGTGAGACTTAACCAGGTGTTACAGTAGAGACTTAAGCAGGTGTTTACAGTGAGACTAACAGGTGTTACTGTGAGACTTAACCAGGTGTTTACAGTGAGACTTACCAGGTGTTTACAAGTGAGCTTAACAAGGTGTTACAGTGAGACTTAACAAGGTGTTACAGTGGACTTAACCAGTTACACAAACCCAGCGTGCGAACATGGGTTTAGTAACAGGTCGTCCTGTCTGATCGCTGAACTACTGGATCACTACACAGGTCCTAATCGCACTAGAAGACAAAAGATGCCAGATGTAATATATACAGACTTTGCAAAAGCCTTCGACATGTGTGACCATGGCGTAATAGCGCACAAAATGCGCGCTAAAGGATAAAGGAAAAGTCCGGTCGATGGATCTATAATTTGCTCACTAACAGAACCAGGAAGAGTGTCGTCAACTGTAGTTAAAGTCCGAGGCAGCTACGGTGAAAAGCTCTGTTCCACAAGGAGCACAGTACTAGCTCCCAATCTTGTGTCCTTCATCCTCATATCCGATCATAGACAAGGATGTCAGCCACAGCACCGTGTTTCTCCTTTGCAGATGGACACCCGAATCTGCATGACAGTGTCTTCTCATTGCAGACACTGCATGGCTCCAGGCGGGACATCAACCAATCTTTCAGTGGGCACTTGCGAAAAACAATATGAAGTTCAACGAATGAGAAATTTCTATTTCTCAGATATGGTATACATGTGGAAATTAAATTTTCATCTAGTGTGTACAAAACATAAATTCTGGCCACAAAATAGAGCGAAACACCATACGTCAAAGACTGGGAGTGATTATGTCGGAGGATCTCACCTTCAAGGACCTTAACATTGTGATCAATCGCATCTGCTAGAAAAATGGACCAGGATGGATAATGAGAACTTCAAAACTAGGGAGGCCAAGCCATGATGGACACTCTTCAGGTCACTGTTCTATCTAGGGCTGGGGATTATTGCTGCCTATAACAGCCACTTTCAAGGCAGGTGAAATGCGCCGACCCTAGATTAATGTACAGAGACACTTTTCACTAAGGATCGCGCATAACGGAGATAAAACACCTCAATTACTGGGAGCGCTTGAGGGTTCTAAACCTGTATTCCCTGGATACGCTGGAGGGAGAGATACATGATTATATACACCTGGAAATCTAGAGGGATAGTACCGAACTTGCACACGAGAATAATCACTCACTCGAAAGCAAAGACTTGGCAGACGATGCACCACCCCCCTATGAAAAGCAGGGTTGTCTCTAGCACGTTGTAAAGAGACCATTCAATAAGTTGTCAGGGGCCACGAGATTTTAAACTGCCTCCCAGCCACATAAGGGGGATTAAAAACAGCCCCCTGGCAGTTTTTAAGTGGCATGGAAAAGCCCCTTTAAAGTCAGTTTCCTGATCCCCGGGCTGTGGCTGTACGTTGGTTTGGGGGCACCCAGCAGCAACCCCTGTGATCAGCGCTAAATCCACCAGGGGCCTGGTCACAGCCCGGGCCCGCGGGGGCATTGACCCCGAACTTCTCCGGGAAACTCCAGGTGTTACAGTGAGATTAACAAGGTGTTACAGTGAGATTTAACCAGGTGTTACAGTGGATTTAAAACAAGGTGTTACAGTGGATTAACCCGGGGTGTTACAGTGGGATTTAAACCAGGTGTTCGTGAGACTTAACAGGTGTTCGTGGATTTAAACCAGGTTTTACAGTGAGATTAAACCCGGTTTACAGTGGGATTAAAAAGGTTACAGTGAGATTAACCAGGTGTTACAGTGAGACTTAACCAGGTGTTACAGGGAGACTTAACCAGGTGTTACAGTGAGACTTAACCAGGTGTTACAGTGAGACTTAACCAGGTTTACAGGAGATTTAACCAGGTGTTACAGTGAGACTTAACAAGGTTACAGTGAGATTTAAACCCAGGTGTTACGTGAGATTTAACCCAAGGTTTAAAGTGGGGCTTAAAAAGGTGTTACAGTGGACTTAACCAGGGTTCAGTGAGACTTAACCAGGTGTTCAGTGAGATTTAAACAGGTGTTACAGTGGATTAACGGTGTTACAGTGAGACTTAACCGGGTGTTACGGAGCTTAACCAGGGAGTGAGACTTAACCAGGTGTTCGGGAGATTAACAAGGTGTTCGGGGAACTTAAAAAGGTGTTCAGTGAGACTTAACCAGGTGTTCAGGAGTTTAACAGGTGTTACAGTGAGATTTAAACCAGGTGTTACAGTGGATTTAAACCCCAGGTGTTCAGTGAGACTTAACCAGGTGTTACAGTGAGACTTAACCAGGTGAGGAGATTAACAAGGTGTTACAGTAGATTTAAACCCAGGTGTTAAAGTGGATTAACCAGGTGTTACAGTGAGACTTAAAAAGGTGTTACAGTAAAATTTAAACCCAGGTGAGTGAGACTTTCCCGGGTTACAGTGAGATTTAACCCAGGTGTTACAGTGGATTACCGGGGGTTTTTACAGTGAGATTACCAGGTGGGGGGAGACTTAACGGTGTTACAGTGAGACTTAAACCCAGGTGGTGAGATTAACCGGTGTTACAGGGACTTAACCAGGTGTTACAGGAGACTTAACCAGGTGTTACGGAGATTAACCAGGTGTTACAGTGAGATTTAAACAAGGTTTTTTCAGTGAAAATTTAAACCAGGTGAGGAGTTTAACAGGTGTTACGTGAGATTAAAACCCAGGTTTTAAATGGATTTAACCGGGTGTTACAGTGAGACTTAACAGGTGTTACTTGAGATTAAACCAGGTGTTACGGGAAAATTTAACCCGGTGTTACACTGAGATTTAAACCCGGTTTTACAGTGAGACTTAACCAGGTGTTACAGGGTTTTTAACAGGTGTTACGTGAGACTTAACCGGGTGTTACGTGAGACTTAACAAGGTGTTACAGTGGATTTAAAAAAGGTTTTACAGTTAGATTTAACCAGGTGTTACAGGGGAATTTAAACCGGGGTGTTCAGTGAGACTTACAAGGTGTTACAGTGGAAACTTAACCAGGGTTACAGAGACTTAAAAAGGTGTTACTTTTGAGATTAACAGATGTTACGTGAGATTAACAAGGGGTTACATTGAGACTTAAAAAGATGTTACGGAGACTTAACAAATTTTACAGGGGGAATTAAACCCCAAGGTTACGAGACTTAACAAGGTGTTATAGTGAGATTTAACCGGTGTTACAAAGGGGATTTAAACCCAGGTGTTACTGAGATTAACAAGGTTTACAGTGAGATTTAACCAGGTTTTACAGTGAGATTTAAACCCAGGTGTTCAGTGGGGATTTAACAAGGTGTTACAGTGAGATTAACCAGGTGATGGATTTAAACCCAGGTGTTACGTGGACTTAACCAGGTGTTACATGAGATTTAAAAAGGTATTACTTAGATTTAACCAGGTGTTACAGTGAGACTTAAAAAAAGGGGTTTACAGTTAGATTTAAAAAAGGTGTTACGTGGATTTAACCGGTTTTTAAGTGAAACTCCCCAGGTGAACAGTGGATTTAAACCCAGGTTTTAAATGAGATTTAAACAAGGTGTTACAGTGGATTAAACAAGTTTTAAGTGAGACTTAACAAGGTGTTAAAAGTGGATTTAAAACCAGGTGTTACAGGACTTAACAAGGTTTTACAGTGGATTTAAACAGGTGTTACAGTGAGACTTAAAAAGGTGTTACAGTTAGATTTAACCAGGGTTACAGTGGCTTAACCGGTGTTACAGTGAAAATTTAAACCCAGGGATACAGTGAGACTTAACAGGTGTTACAGTGATTTTTAAAGGTGTTACGTGAGCTTAAAAAGGGTGTTCGTGGATTAAACAAGGGTGTTACAGTGGACTTAAAAGGTGTTCAGTGGATTCCCCCGGTGTTACAGTGGACTTAAAAAGGGTTACAGTGAGACTTAACAAGGTGTTCGTGGATTTAAACCGGTTTTCAGTGAAATTAAAAAGGTGTTACAGTGAGCAAAACCCAGGTGTTACAGTGAGACTTAAACCAGGTGTTACAGTGAAACTAACCCATGTGTTACAGTTAGATTCCCCCAGGTGTTACATGGACTTAAAAAGGTGTTTTCAGTGGATTTAACCAGGTGATACGGGGACACTTATCAGGTGTTTAGTGAGTTTTAAACAGGCTTTTCTTTGACACTTACCAGGTGTTACAGTGAGATTTAACCAGGGTTACAGTGAAACTTAGCCAGGTGTTACAGGAAACTCAACCAGGTGTTAGAGTGAGACTTAACAATGTTCATGGATTAACAAGGTGTTACAGTAAGATTAATCGGGTGTTACGTGAGACTTAATCGGGTTTTTACAGGAGAAAATCGGGTTAAGTGAATTAACAAGTGTAATAGTGAAATTTAACCCAGGTGTTGCTTTGAAAAATAAAACCGGGTGTTACGGATTAAAGGTGTAGGGTAAATCAACTTTAAAGCTGTAGTATTCACATTTTTTTATTATAATCAAAAAAAAGGGCGCAAACCCCACTAAGGTCATAAAAAATAACACAAATATGGAACGTTGTTATCTGTTACAGGTGATTATCACTCACGGTCACCCACACTGAGGTTCAGCAAGGGTGAAGAAGTGACGATTCCAGTGGTCAAAATCAACCAGGGTCTGCCCGATGAGGTGTACATTAAGAAAGTGCCAGATAATTGGTCAAGTAACACTAGTAAGCTGCCATCTCTCCAACTTGGACCAGCCCAACGCCACCACACTGGTGTATACCTCGTTCATTCTGACGTTCGTACCAACAGAGGAAGCTTTGACGGGGCTTACTTCGATGTCATGATTCGTGGTAAGTGGAGGCAACCGTGATGTTTAATATGGTGCTAAGAAGTGTGTTTGAAGTATTGGTAGGTTGGAATAAGTGGTGTAGGTGGTGGTAGTAGTAATGGGTAAGTGGTACTATTGGTGGTGGTGAGGAGTAAATGACACACACTTCTGCTCAACATCTCACATAGCAGACTTTCTCTGCTTCCCAGATATTCACTGTACTGGTTCATCGTTATCAGTTCTTTCAACTCGTCTGTTATTTACATGCATTTTGGAATGGACTATAAATGCTGCCTTAATTTCAAATTAAAGTGCCTTTTCCATGTTTATATTTAAATCCATACTAAACCCATGCAGACCATCATGTACATTTAGTTGACGGGGCATTCTGAAGTCAGCAGATTTCTGATGTTTGTTCAGCAACTGCATCAGGACGATCACTTGACAAACAGTGTTGTTATAGTCATAGCAGAATTGATGGTGTCAGAAGTAGAACTACTGATACACACAGCTCTCTTGAGTGGCAGTGAGACATGTAGTTGTAGTACACATCTTCCAGAAAGTTAAGATAAGACTTTCTTCGGGTTTTTAACCCCGGAGGGTTTGCCACCCAGGATAACCCAAGGAAGTCAGTGCGTCATCGAGGACTGTCTAACTTATTTCCATTGGGGTTCTTAATCTTGTCCCCCAGGATGCGACCCACACCAGTCGACTAACACCCAGGTACTTGCTGCTAGGTGAACAGGACAACAGGTGTAAGGAAACGCGTCGGAATGTTTCCACCTGCCAGGAGTCGAACCCGGGCCCTCCGTGTGTGAAGCGGGAGCTTTAGCCACCGGGCCACCCTCCATACCAGTTTCCAGTATGGCATATTTGTTTTCCTCTTTATTCATGCCAGCAGTGACTTGAGGGAGAGGAAAGTGAGGAGAGAGCCGTAATCTAGGTAGAAGTATGTACTGTATAGTTTTTCTCAGCAGGTAGCCTCGGTGTTGACTTTAAATTCTCTGTTATCTTTCTTTCCTGTGTGTTCCCACGATTCCTACACCTTACGCAATGTTAGTTCTGTATAACCCATATGGGTTTAGTGCTTATTTTTAATATAGGTAATATGAATAATAATACATACAATAAAATGTTAAGCCTTTTTAATTATATTCTTGATTGTATAAAATAAAATTTAAGTATGAGTGTGTGTTACAGAATGCGAGAAGGATAAGTATGGTGTACACTGTAGTGATCAGTGTCCCAAGTGTCTACACGGAGGACAGTGCCACTCACAGACTGGCACCTGTGTCTGTCCTCCTGGCTTCATAGGTGACACCTGTCAGTATGGTGAGTCTTATTATCTTAATTTTTCTCCATCTCCTTTCAGTCAGCTTGTACCTGCATGTATGTTGTTAGTTTTGTTTGCACAACTTAAAAAGTACAAATACTTTGCGAAGTTTTCTAACACTGAAAAAAAAATTCCACAGTTTTAACATTTTACATCGAGACTTGTAATATTAATAATAATGTTCTCTTTATTTATTTTTACTAATTCAAGTAATGTTCTGTACTTCATAACCTTTCCTGTACAGTGTATCCTGCTTATTATAATACAGTGAGTTGCGTGAGTATGAAGGAGTATGGAAGTTAGTTAGTTTAATATGTTTATTATGCACCCCATACCCATCCTGTGGGCGGTAGTCAAAAGATTACAGAGGTACATAATTGGAGTATGGAAGTTTTTAGTTAAGTTTAATATGTTTATTATGCACCCCATACCCATCCTGTGGGCGGTAGTCAAAAGATTACAGAGGTACATAATTGGTCCAGGGACTGGACTCCAAAGTTTTGATAGCTGAGCAAGTTACAGAGGCAATGAACTCACAATTTACAAAGGTAACGAACTCACAATTTACAAAGGTAATGAACTCACAATTTACAAAGGTAATGAACTCCAGGTAAGTCTGGTCACAATCATGACAAGTTACAAAGGTATTTACAGATTACAGAGGTACGTAATGGGTCCAGGGACTGGGCCCCCAAAGTTTTGATAGCTGAACTAGGTACAAAGGTAATGAGCTCAGAAGTTACAAAGGTAATGAATTCTGTAGAATGGTTACTTACGTTTATACTTTGGCTACAATCATGAACAAATTATAGAGTAATGAGCAATTCACACTTCCACACCCGGTCACAACTGTAATGAGTTATTGGTGCAAATATTGATTGTTGAGTCATATGTATGGAAGAAGTGAATGTTTTCAGATATTTGGGAGTTGACGTGTCGGCGGATGGATTTATGAAGGATGAGGTTAATCATAGAATTGATGAAGGAAAAAAGGTGAGTGGTGCGTTGAGGTATATGTGGAGACAAAAAACGTTATATATGGAGGCAAAGAAGGGAATGTATGAAAGTATAGTGGTACCAACACTTATATGGGTATGAAGCTTGGGTTGTAAATGCTGCAGCGAGGAGGCGGTTGGAGGCGGTGGAGATGTTCTGTCCGAGGGCAATGTGTGGTGTAAATATTATGCAGAAAATTCGGAGTGTGGAAATTAAGAGAAGGTGTGAAGTTAATAAAAGTATTAGTCAGAGGGCGGAAGAGGGGTTGTTGAGGTGGTTTGGTCATTTAGAGAGAATGGATCAAAGTAGAATGACATGGAGAGCGTATAAATCTGTATTGGAAGAAAGGCTGGGTAAGGGTCGTCCTTGAAAAGTCTGGAGGTAGAGGGGTAAAGGAGGTTTTGTGGGCGAGGGGCTTGGACTTCCAGCAAGCGTGCGTGAGCGTGTTAGATAGGAGTGAATGGAGACGAATGGTATTTGGGACCTGACGAGCTATTGGAGTGTGAGCAGGGTAATATTTAGTGAAGGGATTCAGGGAAACAGGTTATTTTTATATAACCGGACTTGAGTCCTGGAAATGGGAAGTACAATGCCTGCACTCTAAAGGAGGGGTTTGAGATATTGGCAGTTTGGAGGGATATGTTGTATATACGTATATACTTCTAAACTGTTGTATTCTGGGCACCTCTGCATAAACAGTGATTATGTATGAGTGAGGTGAAAGTGTTGAATGATGATGGAAGTATTTTCTTTTTGGGTCACCCTGCCTCGGTGGGAGATGACCGACTTGGTAAAAAAAAAAAAAAGTTGTGTGACCTAGGGAGGATACATTAGCACTAAGCACCTCCACAATGCCAGTTTAGTTTATAGTTTAATATCTTTATTACCACCTCATACCCATCCTGTGGGTGGTAGCCAAAGATAATAGGTCCAGTGACTGGGCCGCAGAGTTTTGTTAGCTGAAGAAGTTACACTGGTAATGAGCTATTTACATGTTTATTTCTAGTCACAGTCATAATGATTTATTAATCCGACATGAATTAGGGCACTGATGTTATTTGTATCTTCTCACAGCTTGTCTCCCTGGGACATTTGGAGCACAGTGTCAGCTGGCATGTGATAGGAAGACGCTGGAATTTAATGTCAATAAAGATGGAGACTGTCGTAGCCTGATCATCTGTCTTCCAAAACCCTACGGCTGTTCCTGTGCCCCTGGTTACACTTATTTAGACGGTGATGGTGATAATAAAATATGTACGGGAGGTAAGTTGACTGGTTTTTGGGCAGAGCCAGATTAAGATTTTATAGGCTCCTGGGCTACAGATACTGTGAGGCCCCCACTGATATTTTCGAAAGGAAATATTAAATTTATTTTTACAAGTCTAACCACAATTAAAATTCAGACATTTGCTTTTGGCCATAATGTCTAATGAAATAGAATTCAATTCTTTGCATGAATCACTTAATCTCAGTTTAGTTGTTAGTTGCATTGCCCTCCTCCACAAAGGTGGCAGTAAGACAATTGCAAAAAATTACAGACCTGTAGCACTTACATTCCATATCATAAAAATCTCTGAAAGAGTTCTAAGAAGCAAGATCGCCACCCACTTAGATACCCATCAGTTACACAACCCAGAGCAATGTGGGTTTAGAGCAGGGTGCTCCTGCCTGTCCCAACTACTGGACTATTATGACAAGGTCTTAGAGGACAAACAAAATGCAGATGTAGTATACATAGACATTGCGAAAGCCTTTCGACAAGTATGACCATAACAGCGCACAAAATGTGTGATAAAGGAATAACAGGAAAAGTTGGTAGATGCATCTATAACTTCCTAACAAATAGAACACAAAGGGTAATAGTCAACTGTAAAGTCTGAGGCAACCACAGTGAAAAACTGTTCCTCAATGCACAGTACTCGCCCTCATCCTGTTCCTTATTCTCACATCTGACATAGACAGAGATGTAAGCCACAGCACTGTGTCTTCCTTTGTGGATAACACCTGAATTTGCATGACAGTGTCATCCATCGATAACACTGGAAGACTCCAAGCGGACTTCAAGCAAATCATTACGTGGGCCGCGGAGAACGATATGAAGTTCAATGAAGAGAAATTTCAATTACTCCAATATGGAAAACTCGTGAAAATTAAAAGTGTATCGGAGTATAAAACAAATTCCAATCACACAATAAAAGAAAAACTAATATAAAGGATCTGGGAGTGATAATGTCAGAGAATCTCACTTTCAAAGATCACAACAATGTATCTACAACATCTGCTAGGAAAATGATAGGATGGATAATGAGAACCTTCAAAACTAGGGATGCCAAGTCCATGATGAATCTCTTCAAATCACTTGTTCTTTGAGGCTGGAATACTGCTGCACACTAAAGGCCCCTTTCAAAACAGGCGAAATTGCAGACCTAGAGAATGTACACATAACTTTAACAGCATATATAAGTACGATAAAACCCCTAAATTACTGGGAACGGTTGAAGTCCCTTGATTTGTACTCCCTGAAATTCAGACGAGAAAGATACATGATAATATACACTTGGAAAATCGTAGAGGGACTGGTCCCAAATTTGCACACGAAAATCACTCCATAGAAATCAAAAGACTGGGCAGGAGATGCAACATCCCCGCGGTGAAAACCAGGGGCGCCACGACTACACTAAGAGATAACAGGCTGGACAGGCACCTAAAGTCAGTACCTGACCAGCCAGGCTGTAGTTCATATGTCGGTTTGTGTGTGGCCAACATTAACAACCTGATTGATCAGGCTCTGATCCACCATGAGTCCTGGTCACAGGACCGTGGAGGCGTTGATCCCCAAAACCCTCTCCAGGTATTAACACACTGGCAAAAGGCACATCATTAATATAAAACTTAATTCAGCCATCATTAAAAAATTATAAACCAAAAATTATATAAAACGAAAGGTAGGCCTTTGCTGCGAGGCTTTACAAGTTGAGACAATGACACTGTACTGTTGGGAATAAACAAACCGAATAACTCTTGCCTTATACTGATCCACTCTTAAATCTCTATCCAGAATTAGTCACAACAATTAACAGTTCATTATATACATGTTGTAATAACTTACTATAATTATAGGTTGTAAAAGAAGTAAATGCTAGGGTGTTGGGGAGAGGGGTGGGATTAAATTATGGGGAATCAAATACAAAATAGGAATTGACACAGTTACTTTTTGCTGATGATACTGTGCTTATGGGAGATTCTAAAGAAAAATTGCAAAGGTTAGTGGATGAGTTTGGGAGTGTGTAAAGGTAGAAAGTTGAAAGTGAATATAGATAAGAGTAAGGTGATGAGGGTATCAAATGATTTAGAGAAAGAAAAATTGGGTATCAAATTGGAGAGGAGTATGGAAGAAGTGAATGTTTTCAGATATTTGGGAGTTGACGTGTCAGCAGATGAATTTATGAAGGATGAGGTTAATCATAGAATTGATGAAGCAAAAAAAGTAAGTGGTGCATTGAGGTACATGTGGAGACAAAAAACGTTATCTGTGTAGGCAAAGAAGGGAATGTATGAAAGTATAGTGATACCAACACACTTATATGGGTGTGAAGCTTGGGTTGTAAATGCTGCAGCGAGGAGTCAGTGGAGATATGCTGTCTAAGGGCAACGTGTGGTGTAAATATTATGCAGAGAATTCGGAGTGTGAAAATTAGGAGAAGGTGTGGAGTTAATAAAAGTATTAGTCAGAGGACTGAAGAGGGGTTGTTGAGGTGGTTTGGTCATTTAGAGAGAATGGATCAAAGTAGAATGACATGGAGAGCATAGGGGAAGGAAGGCGGGGTAAGGGTCGTCCTCGAAAAGGTTGGAGGGATGGGGTAAAGGAGGTTTTGTGGGCGAGGGGCTTGGACTTTCAGCAAGCGTGCGTGAGCGTGTTAGATAGGAGTGAATGGAGACGAATGGTATTTGGGACCTGACGAGCTGTTGGAGTGTGAGCAGGGTAATATTTAGTGAAGGGATTCAGGGAATATATAGCCGGACTTGAGTCCTGGAAATGGGAAGTACAATGCCTGCACTTTAAAGGAGGGGTTTGGGATATTGGCAGTTTGGAGGGATATGTTGTGTATCTTTATACGTATATAAATCTAAACTGTTGTATTCTGAGCACCTCTGCAAAAAAACAGTGATTATGTATGAGTGAGGTGAAAGTGTTGAATGATGAAAGTATTTTCTCTTTGGGGATTTTCTTTCTTTTTGGGTCACCCTGCCTCGGTGGGAGACGGCTGACTTGTTGAAAAAAAAAATTATAAACTTGAAGCAGTAACTGTGAACACTTTTCACTTAATCTCTGGAGGCCCTCCAGCTGGTGGAGGACCCTGGGCTGCAGCCCCTAAAGCCCATGCCTTAATCTGACCCTGCTTATGGTTATACTAACTGATGTATATGCTAACTGATGTGTATGCTGATGTGGAAGTAACCGTATATACAGAGAGCTGTGGAAGCCAGAATATACAACACTGTGGAGGCCACAATACACACAGCATTGTGGAAGCCAGAATACACAACATTGTGGAGGCCACAATACACACAGCATTGTGGAAGCCAGAATACACAACATTGTGGAGGTCACAATGCACACAGCATTGTTGAAGCCAGAATACACAACAGTGTGGAGGTCACAATACACACAGCATTGTGGAAGCCAGAATACACAACATTGTGGAGGTCACAATACACACAGCATTGTGGAAGCCAGAATACACAACATTGTGGAGGTCACAATACACACAGCATTGTGGAAGCCAGAATACACAACATTGTGGAGGCCACAATACATACAGCATTGTGGAAGCCAGAATACACACAAAGCATTGTGGAGGCCACAATACACATTACATTGTGGAAGCCAGAATACACACAAAAAATTGTGAAGGTCACAGTACTCACAACATTGTGGAAGGCAGAATACACAAAACATTGTGAAGGTCACAGTACACACAGCATTGTGGAGGCCATATATTACACACACAGAATTGGGGAGACCAAAGTTCATAGACAGATATTATGAAGGCCAGAATATACACACACACACAAACACAGTCTGGGTAGAAGCTGAGTCTCGACCCCTGCAATCACAATTAAGCGAGTACAGTACAAACCATAGTGTCCACCACTTACTCACCAACATATAAGTGCCGTTAATATCTAACAACTAACAGACACGCAGAACAGAAGGATAAAAAAAAATTATGACTTTAGATACATTGAACATATGGATTGATAGATGATGGAATTCAGTGTAAATAAACGTCATGTACTGTATTAGAAATGAGAGAGTGATATCAGGGTATGTCAGTATGAAGAATATAGACTGTGGGACAAAATATTGAAAGTATCAGGTAGAGAGATCTAGGAGTAATTATTAACAAGAAATTGTCACCAGAAGATCACATAAGGGTAAATGAGATTGTGAGGAACTCATTTATTACACTGGCAAACCTATGAAATACCTTTCAAATATATGGATGGTGAAATGTTAAGAAAGTCGTTTGTAACTATATGTATTAGGAAAAACTTGGAATATGCAGTGCTTGTGTGGTGCCTCACACTTCACAAAACACACAGATAAGTTAGAAAATGTTCAGAGAAAAACTACAAAATATCTGCCAGAGTTGAGCAAAATGAACTAGGATGAAAGATTGAGGTTGTCCATGTTGGATGGTAACAAGAAAAGAAGATACATGATAATCACATATTAGGTCTTTATAGGACTTGCAAAAGTAGATGTAGATTTCTTAGTGAGTGCAAAAAGTATAACAAGAGGTAAAAATGCAGTGGAAAGGCTAGTAGAACATTTTTCTTCTCAAATAGAATAGTTAACCAGTGGAATGAATTAAAGGAAGAACTAGTAAATACTGTAAACTTTAGAAATTTAAAAAAATTGTGATGAGCAGAATATTGAAGATGAGACACCACAAGCACCACTCTCTTATTGTAGCTAAAAATGGTATTTACATTAAACATTTCATAATACCTGGAGTATATCTGGAGATGGTTTCGGGGGTCAATGCCCCCACAGCCCGGTCTGTCACCAGGCTTCATTATGGATCAGGGCCTGATCAACCAGGCTGTTGCTGTTGGCCGCACGAAACCCTCCGTACGAACCACAGCCCGGCTGGTCAGGTTAATGACTTTAGGTGCCTGTCCAGTGCCTTCTTGAAGACAGCCAGGGGTCTGTTGGTAATCTCCCTTATGTATGCTGGGAGGCAGTTGAACAGTGTTGGGCCCCTGACACTTGACGTGTTGTCTCTTATCGTGCTAGTGGCGCCCTTGCTTTTCATTGGGGGGATGTTGCATCGTCTGCCGATTCTTTTGCTTTCGTAGGGAGTGATTTTCGAGTGCAAGTTTGGTACTAATCCCTCTAGGATTTTCCAAGTGTATCTCCTGCCTGCATTCTAGGGAGTACATGTTGAGGAACTTCAAGGGTTCCCACTAATTTAGGTGTTTTATCACAGTTATTTGTGCCGTGAAGGTTCTCTACATTTTCTAGGTCACGCAATTACACTTGCCTGAAAGGTGTTGTTAGTGCGCAGCACTATTCCAGCCTAGATAGAACAAGTGACCTGAAGAGTGTCATCGTGGGCTTGGCATCCCTAGTTTTAAAGGTTCTCATTATCCATCCTGTCATTTTTCTGGCAGATGTATTGATACTCTGTTATGGTCTTTGAAGGTGAGATCCTCTTGAGATGATCACTCCCAGGTCTTTTACATTAGTTTTCCGCTCTATTGTTTGGTTGGAATTTGTTGTATACTCCAACATAGTTTTAATTTCTTCACAATTTCCATATTGGAGTAATTGAAATTTCTCATCATTGAACTACATATTGTTTTCTGCGGCCCATATAAAGATTTGGTCCATATCCGCCTGGAGTCTTGCGGTGTCTTTAATGGAGGACACTGTCATGCAAATTCGGGTGTCATCTGCAAAGGAAAAGACACTGAGCTGTGGCTTACATCTCTGTCTATGTCAGATATGAAGACGAGGAACAGTATGGGAGCGAGTACTGTGCTGTGTGGAATAGAGCTTTTCACCTTAGCCGCCTCTGTTTACTACTACTCTTTGTGTTCTGTTTGTTAGGATTTATATTATTTGTATTTATATTATTTATAACATGCATAATATATGCTGAATTGTCAGTGTTAAATAATAGCTAAATTTACATGCTAGGACTGATAGTGGAACACTTGTCACATACAGTTATCTTGTTTCAGAGTGTCCAGTTGGAAAGTTTGGAGCAGACTGTAGTGAGAGCTGTGAAGGTTGTAAGGATAGTGAGTGTGACCGCTTTACAGGCACTTGTATCCAAGGTTGTCAGGGTGGTGCTGTTTGTACTGCTGGTGAGTGTGTCCTTCAGTGTTGTCTTTAAGTTTGTTATGCTAGCTGTTACCCCCTGAAAAGTATTGAACACCCTTGTAATCAACACTAATGTTCTTCATGTTTGTTTTATCACCACTAGTGTTCTCCATGTCTGTGCTATCACTACATAACTACTATTACAAAACACTAGTTTGACACAAAAAAGCCATTACCTCTACACAGGTAGGGTGTATTTTTGTTTCATTAGCCTGTTACTAGTGTTGTAATATGGGAGAGTTTGGGATTACAAACACTACAATTTGCAATCTCTACTATAAATATACTTTGTATAAAAACATAAGAAGTCTTTATCTTTGATATAGCTACGTATTTTATGTACAAAGTCACAAAATATCAAGTAAGTAAAAAATAATCATTAGTAAGTAAAAAATAATCATCATAGGTACAAAAACAATCATAATAATCATCATCCCTTACAGAATCATCCTGGATGATCATCATCCCAGATATAATCATCCCGGACAGGCTCCCATATTTTACAAAACACTAGTTTGACACACAAAAAATTACCGTAGATAAATAGTTAACTTGCCTCACGGCAGGTTAACTACTTAACCACCAGTTTGGTAGGAGGCCATAACAACTACCATGTTACTAGTACTGTGTACTTCCACAGCTCCCTCATCACCACAAGTGTCTGTCAAGAGACTCCACCGAGCACTGAGAATTACCATCACTAATGGAAACATCGGTGAAATCTACTTTGTCACACATCAGGTATATACTCTTTCACCTCCCAGGAATGATTGCAAGAGTGCCAGTATTTAGTGACCCATGTCACCAGTTACTAGTAACTCATTTGTGGGCCATCTGTTTATTGTTATTCATCTACATTGTTTAGTATTTATAAGGAAGGCAAACATTGTTTGCCCTATAAATATTCTTCCCTTTAAAATTGCAATATCCCTCTGTATGTCAACATTAATTTACTGTTATATAGCATTCTTCATTTTTATTTACAAATTAGTGAATTTATACCAGAAACCTGTTAGAAACTATCTGTTTTGGGTGGCTCATGGCCTGGTAGGCAAAGTTCTTGCTTCACACGCTGAGGATCCGTGGTTTGATTCCCGCCAGTAATAATAATATCTTTATTTTAGCATGATACATGTTTGTAATGTAAAAGGACACAAGTGCAACTAATGTGACATTTTTATTGTGGCAACGTTTCGCTCTCCAGGAGCTTTGTCAAGCCGTTACGGCTTGACATATTGTCGGTAATTCTACCAAGATTATTACATGATACATGTTTGTACAAAGGAGTATAATAACTGAGGGTATGTCCCAAAAAGCCCCCTTTATGTACGAAGCATTTCAGGCAAACTTAAGACTAACTTAAGATTAATAAGGCAATAACAATTCGCTAAATTTGTACATATAGCCATTAGGTGAGTTTACAATGAGTCAAGAGAATTGAATATTATATTGGTTCATGCTATATGGCTTTAATTGGTTTAGCGGGAGAGGAATTACAGTTTTGATTATTAACCAAGGCAGACACAATGGAATGATTAACATTTGAGAAGATTACAGATTTTGAGGTAAGTATATATTGATTATAATGTTATACCTATGTTCCTGATATGAACGAATGCTGTATAGTTGTTTTACATATGTATATATGATGGGCTGGGATAGATAAAGGAGATAAGGTGTTTTTTAAAACTGTAGTTTTAAAAATGCTTGTTGAGTCAGCGGTTCTGAAGATTTCGGGCCCAGAGTTCCAGATTTTGGGCCCTTTTATGTGCATTGGTTTTTGAAAAGATTAGCCTGACATAGGGACTGTAATAGATATTTTTGGCCCTAGTGTTATGCCTATGCGTCCTATTGCGACTGTCGAAAAAGAGCTTCAGGTGGGGGATTTATATTGAATTGATTGTTCTTTTAAATGTAGGTTGCATAGTAGTACGAGTGAATGTTTTGTATAGTGAGTATATCTGGATTATACCTGGAGAGGGTTTTCTGGGGTCAATCCCCCCACGGCCGGTCTGTGACCAGGAAGTGGGTTTAGGTCTTGAGAGTGGAGGGAGGGAGGGAGGGTGTATTGTCTAACAGTGGAAAATTGGGCTTGTTTCCTTTTCACCCGTTGTTCCCGTTCACCCCTCAATAAAATGGGTACCTGGGTGTTAATCAACTGGTGTGGGTCGCTTCCTCTGACAAAAAATGACCTAATTTGCCCGAAATGCTCTGCATTTTTCCTGGAGTATACCCGGAAAGGGTTTTTTGGGGGTCAACGCCCCCACAGCTGGTCTGTGACAGGGTCACGGTGGATCAGGGCCTGATCAACCAGGCTGTTACTGTTAGCTACACGCATCTCGACGTACGACCACAGCCCATCTGATCAGTTACAACTTTAGGTGGCTGTTCAGTATGTAGTATGTCAAAGACGTCAGCTAGGCCTGTATTTCGTTGTACATGACTTGTAGAAATAAAGATCCCCTTCTTTCAACAAACTGGCCGTATCCCACCTAGGCAGGGCGCCCAAATAAAGACGAAAGTTACTCCTTTTAAATTTAGTAATATATTTCAGGAGAAAGGGTTACTAGCCCCTTGCTCCCGGTATTTCAGTCGCTTCTTACAACACCATGGCTTACGGAGGAGAAGTCTGCTCCACTTCCCCATGGGAAAAAGAGGAATAAATAAGAACAAAAACTAGTAAGAAAATAGAAGAAAACCCAGAAGGGTGTGTATATATGCTTGTACATGTATGTGTAGTGTGACCTAAGTGTAAGAAGTAGCAAGACGTACCTGAATTCTTGCATGCATATGATACAGAGAAAAGACACCAGCAATCCTACCATCATGTAAAACAATTACAGTCTTCCATTTTACACTCACTTGGCAGGACAGTAGTACCTCCCTGGGTGGTTGCTGTAGAAATTAAGATATTATTATTATTACTTTAAAAAATCTGCCTCTCAGATAAACAACAGTGAATTTGCTTTGTCATCCTCCAGCTTATTGCACGGTAAAATATTATGTTATTTAATTATTTAATATATGAATGAAGACGAATGGTTTTTGGGACCTGACGATGTGTTGGAGTGTAAGCAAGATAAGGGATTCAGGGAAACTGATTAGCCGGACTTGAGTCATGGAGGCGGGAAGTACAGTGCCAATATCCCAAACCCCTCCTTTAAAGGAGGGGTTTGGGATATTGGTCGTTTGGAATGACATCTAAACTGTCATATCTGGGCACCTCTGCAAAGACAGTGATTATGTGTGAATTAAGGTGAAAGTGTTCCTTTCTTTTTTGGGTCACCCTGCCTCGGTGGGAGACAGCTGACGTGTTGCAAAAAAAAAAAAAAAAAAAAAAAAGGAAAAATGTTTATTAGTAAACCTATTTTTTTCAGAATCCATAGAAATAGGATTCTTGTTAGTCTGATATGCTGCGAGAAGTATTCTGATGCAGTTACCCATCAAACATTTGTTGGTGTCATCAGTGAGAAAAATCATTTTCTAGAGATTTGCAAATCAAAAGCAGAGCATCCTCCTGGTTCATGTTAATGATGGTGTACAGTCCTGACGAGTTGATGAATAAGAGACATCTGCAACACCTGGGTATCTTTATTGATGCCTCGGCAATAGATATCCTAGTTGTGCTCCCTTTAATACTATCCCGGCCAGCAGCACCTCAGATATATGCCATAATACTTATCCACATTAATAACAGATTTACAAATTTGGATTCATTAAGATTCTTTGTGCTTTTACACTCTGTCTGTTTGTGAGTTTAGAAACTTTCCAGAGCTTGGTTTTCAGTGGTTAGATTACAGTCATTCCCAACCTTTTTTTGTCATGCCCCACCTAGACACCTCAAAAACTTTGATGTTTCCCCTCAGTGTAAAAACTAATTTGGGTGTTGAAAAGGCATAATATTGGGTAAAATTACAACACAGCAAAATTAAATAAATTTTATTGTAACATTTTCAAATGGCCTCCTAAAAACATTCAAATTGCACCCCCACCACCACAAAAGCATTCAAATTGTTCCCTTGTGGGGCGTATGCCCCATGTTGGGTATCTCTGGGTTAGAGTTTAGAAGATGACATACATCTAAGAACAGTGAAACTGACACAGTTTGCTGGGAAACATTTATTACAATGTTACATCCAGGAATGGACTTTATCATGTGTACAGAAGTGCAGATACTTCACCTTATAATTTAGAACTCACCTGTTACCTCTCTTTTGACTTCTCCCAAACCAGACCTCAGATCCTGAAACCTTGATCACTTTAAATGCATTAAATGAAGTGATCAAGGTTCCAGGGTCTTAATATCTTCAATAAAGCTGTACTAAGTGTATGCATTCATGACCATTGTTCTCTAGTTGTTGGGATTCATTTGTCTTATTACAATCCGTCTACCATTATTCTGTCATGCATTAAAAGTCACTTCCATGACACATCCAAGAAGATCAACAAGGTTCATGGATGTTACTAACATCCACTTTGTCGGAAGTTTGTCAGCAGAACTACAGTGTTCCAACATCCTGCATCACCATGTGCTGGCATGGCAAGTAACCCAGGAAATTTGAGACAACTGCCTAACAGATGTTTAAGAATTATCTGTATGTGTACTGTTCTCCTGTAAGATGGTATGGAATGATTGGTGTGAGTCTGCCATCTTGACTATCACATTCATGTTTTACTGTCACCTTAACTATCAGATTCATATCTTACTCTGTCACCTTAACTATCAGATTCATGTTTTACTGTCACATTAACTATCAGATTCATATCTTACTCTGTCACCTTAACTATCACATTCATGTTTTACTGTCACATTAACTATCAGATTCATATCTTACTCTGTCACCTTAACTATCAGATTCATAACTTACTCTGTCACTTTAACCATCAGATTCATGTCTTACTCTGTCACCTTAACTATCAGATTCATGTTTTACTGTCACCTTAACTATCAGATTCATATCTTACTCTGTCACCTTAACTATCAGATTCATAACTTACTCTGTCACTTTAACCATCAGATTCATGTCTTACTCTGTCACCTTAACTATCAGATTCATAACTTACTCTGTCACTTTAACCATCAGATTCATGTCTTACTCTGTCACCTTAACTATCAGATTCATGTTTTACTGTCACATTAACTATCAGATTCATATCTTACTCTGTCACCTTAACTATCAGATTCATAACTTACTCTGTCACTTTAACCATCAGATTCATGTCTTACTCTGTCACCTTAACTATCAGATTCATAAACTTACTCTGTCACTTTAACCATCAGATTCATGTCTTACTCTGTCACCTTAACTATCAGATTCATGTTTTACTGTCACATTAACTATCAGATTCATATCTTACTCTGTCACCTTAACTATCAGATTCATGTTTTACTGTCACATTAACTATCAGATTCATATCTTACTCTGTCACCTTAACTATCAGATTCATGTTTTTACTGTCACATTAACTATCAGATTCATATCTTACTCTGTCACCTTAACTATCAGATTTTATGTTTTACTGTCACATTAACTATCAGATTCATATCTTACTCTGTCACCTTAACTATCAGATTCATAACTTACTCTGTCACTTTAACCATCAGATTCATGTCTTACTCTGTCACCTTAACTATCAGATTCATGTTTTACTGTCACATTAACTATCAGATTCATATCTTACTCTGTCACCTTAACTATCAGATTCATAACTTACTCTGTCACCTTAACTATCAGATTCATATCTTACTCTGTCACTTTAACCATCAGATTCATGTCTTACTCTGTCACCTTAACTATCAGATTCATATCTTACTCTGTCACCTTAACTATCAGATTCATATCTTATTCTGTCACCTTAACTATCAGATTCATATCTTACTCTGTCACCTTAACTATCAGATTCATATCTTACTCTGTCACCTTAACTATCAGATTCATATCTTACTCTGTCACTTTAACCATCAGATTCATGTCTTACTCTGTCACCTTAACTATCAGATTCATATCTTACTCTGTCACCTTAACTATCAGATTCATATCTTACTCTGTCACCTTAACTATCAGATTCATATCTTACTCTGTCACCTTAACTATTAGATTCATATCTTATTCTGTCACCTTAACTATTAGATTCATATCTTACTCTGTCACCTTAACTATCAGATTCATATCTTACTCTGTCACCTTACTTATCAGATTCATATCTTACTCTGTCACCTTAACTATCAGATTCATATCTTATTCTGTCACCTTAACTATCAGATTCATGTCTTACTCTGTCACCTTAATTATCAGATTCATATCCTACTCTGTCACCTTAACTATCAGATTCATATCTTATTCTGTCATCTTAACTATTAGATTCATATCTTACTTTGTCACCTTAACTATCAGATTCATATCTTACTCTGTCACCTTAACTATCAGATTCATATCTTTTTCTGTCATCTTAATTATTAGATTCACATCTTACTCTGTCACCTTAACTATTAGATTCATATCTTACTCTGTCACCTTAGCTATTAGATTCATATCTTACTCTGTCACCTTAACTATCAGATTCATGTCTTACTGTCACCTTATCAGATTTATATCTTACTCTGTCACCTTAACTATCAGATTCATATCTTATTCTGTCACCTTAACTATCAGATTCATGTCTTATTCTGTCACCTTAATTATCTGATTCATATCTTACTCTGTCACCTTAACCATCAGATTCATATCTTATTCTGTCACCTTAACTATCAGATTCATATCTTATTCTGTCACCTTAACCATCAGATTCATGTCTTACTGTCACCTTAATTATCAGATTCATATCTTACTCTGTCACCTTAACTATCAGATTCATATCTTACTCTGTCACCTTAACCATCAGATTCATGTCTTACTGTCACCTTAATTATCAGATTCATATCTTACTCTGTCACCTTAACTATCAGATTCATATCTTATTCTGTCACCTTAACTATCAGATTCATATCTTATTCTGTCACCTTAACTATCAGATTCATATCTTATTCTGTCACCTTAACCATCAGATTCATGTCTTACTGTCACCTTAATTATCTGATTCATATCTTACTCTGTCCCCTTTAAACCCATCAGATTCATATCTTATTTGTCACCTTAACTATCAGATTCTATCTTATTCTGTCACATTAACCATCAGATTAATGTCTTACTGTCACCTTAATTATCTGATTCATATCTTACTCTGTCACCTTAACCATCAGATTCATATCTTATTTTGTCACCTTAACTATCAGATTCATATCTTATTCTGTCACCTTAACATCAGATTAATTTGTCTTACTGTCCCCTTTAAATTATCTGATTCATATCTTACTCTGTCACCTTAACCATCAGATTCATATCTTATTTTGTCACCTTAACTGTCAGATTCATATCTTATTCTGTCACCTTAACCATCAGATTAATGTCTTACAGTCACCTTAATTATCTGATTCATATCTTACTCTGTCCCCTTTAAACCCATCAGATTCATATCTTATTTTGTCACCTTAACTGTCAGATTCATATCTTATTCTGTCACCTTAACCATCAGATTCATGTCTTACCCTGTCATTTTAATAATCAAATTCATGCCTTAGCTACCAACTTAATTTTTTACCTTCTTAATTCATCAGAGTTTTGTTTCAGCAATTTATCGTCATATTGTTTTTGCTGTTATTCTAAACCTGTTATTTAATTCTCTCAACTGCTTGGTATATCATATTCTTTCTCTTCTTAAGACACGTACTTTTCTGGTGCTGTACTTCCATTGTTAAGATACGTGTCTGCTTCTTCTGTTAGAGGACACATATCAGTGTTAGTCTTGTAATTTAAGATAACATTAGTGTTTGTGATTAAGTGTCACATACTACAATAAAGTTACATAAATTGTGTTTTAATAAGTAATGTTTTATCGTAGTTTTAACTTGTAGTTTTTTAAATCTAAATTGTAAAGTACACAAATGATATCCTATTTCCATGTGAAGAGGTGACTCTTGATTTATTCTCTAAATAATAAGTATATGTTACATACAGTTTCTTGGATACGAGAGCTGTAATGGCAGAAGAGAGAGCAGTGAACCAGTGACAGCCATAGTGAATGCTGCATCCTTAGATCTCTCAAACCTGGAACCCTATGCCAGTTACAAAATATGTGTGGTCGCTGCAAATTCTGGAGGTCACAGTCAACACTCCTGCGAAAATCCCAGAACTCTACCTGAAGGTAAGAAAGAGTAATATTGAGGAATCATTTACTTACCCAACACTAATGTCAACACTTCCTGAATGTAAGGTGAAAACAGTGATTCATGTACTTACCCAACACACTCCCTGAAGGTAATGAATGATTCATGTACTCACCCAACACTCTCCCTGAAGGTAAGGTGACAGTAATGATTCATGTACTCACCCAACACTCTCCCTGAAGGCAATAATTTATGTACTCACCCAACACTCTCCCTGAAGGTAAGGTGACAGTAATGATTCATGTACTTACCCAACACTCTCCCTGAAGGTAAGGTGACAGTAATGATTCATGTACTCACCCAGCACTCTCCCTGAAGGTAAGGTGACAGTAATGATTCATGTACTCACCCAACACTCCCCCTGAAGGTAATGTGACAGTAATGATTCATGTACTCACCCAACACTCTCCCTGAAGGTAAGGTGACAGTAATGATTCATGTACTCACCCAACACTCTCCCTGAAGGTAAGGTGACAGTAATGATTCATGTACTCACCCAACACTCTCCCTGAAGGTAAGGTGACAGTAATGATTCATGTACTCACCCAACACTCTCCCTGAAGGTAAGGTGACAGTAATGATTCATGTACTCACCCAACACTCTCCCTGAAGGTAAGGTGACAGTAATGATTCATGTACTCTCCCAACACTCTCCCTGAAGGTAGGTGACAGTAATGATTCATGTACTCACCCAACACTCTCCCTGAAGGTAAGGTGACAGTAATGATTCATGTACTCACCCAACACTCTCCCTGAAGGTTAAGGTGACAGTAATGATTCATGTTACTCACCCAACACTCTCCCTGAAGGTAAGGTGACAGTAATGATTCATGTACTCACCCAACACTCTCCCTGAAGGTAAGGTGACAGTAATGATTTCATGTACTCACCCAACACTCTCCCTGAAGGTAAGGTGACAGTAATGATTCATGTACTCACCCAACACTCTCCCTGAAGGTAAGGTGACAGTAATGATTCATGTACTCACCCAACACTCTCCCTGAAGGTAAGGTGACAGTAATGATTCATGTACTCACCCAACACTCTCCCTGAAGGTAATGTGACAGTAATGATTCATGTACTCACCCAACACTCCCTGAAGGTAATGTGACAGTAATGATTCCATGTACTCACCCAACACTCTCCTGAAGGTAATGTGACAGTAATGATTCATGTACTCACCCAGCACTCTCCCTGAAGGTAATGTGACAGTAATGATTCATGTACTCACCCAACACTCTCCCTGAAGGTAATGTGACAGTAATGATTCATGTACCCCACCCAACACTCCCCTGAAGGTAAGGTGACAGTAATGATTCATGTACTCACCCAACACTCTCCCTGAAGGTAATGTGACAGTAATGATTCATGTACTCACCCAACACTCCCTGAAGGTAATGTGACAGTAATGATTCATGTACTCACCCAACACTCTCCTGAAGGTAATGTGACAGTAATGATTCATTGTACTCACCCAACACTCTCCCTGAAGGTAAGGTGACAGTAATGATTCATGTACTCACCCAACACTCTCCCTGAAGGTAATGTGACAGTAATGATTCATGTACTCACCCAACACTCTCCCTGAAGGTAAGGTGACAGTAATGATTCATGTACTCACCCAACACTCTCCCTGAAGGTAATGTGACAGTAATGATTCATGTACTCACCCAACACTCCCTGAAGGTAATGTGACAGTAATGATTCATGTACTCACCCAACACTCTCCCTGAAGGTAATGTGACAGTAATGATTCATGTACTCACCCAACACTCTCCCTGAAGGTAATGTGACAGTAATGATTCATGTACTCACCCAGCACTCTCCCTGAAGGTAAGGTGACAGTAATGATTCATGTACTCACCCAACACTCTCCCTGAAGGCAATAATTTATGTACTCACCCAACACTCTCCCTGAAGGTAATGTGACGGTAATGATTCATGTACTCACCCAACACTCTCCCTGAAGGTAAGGAAGGGTGAACGTGGTGTGTAATATTCTTATTACTTTTTATTATATCCAATTCTGCTGCATAACCTTTGTTGTACCCAGCTGTCTCAAGTGCTTCAGTTTGTCTTCTCTTGTTATTACAAAGTTCTTTTATCTTTGCTTAATATAGCACATCCCTCGTTACCTTGTGAAGTATTATTACATTCATGGAACTCTAAGCTCTTCAGGGTCATACAACATCTGAGAAATGAGAAGTAATCAGGTTTCATTTGAGGAAGGGGTGGATAGCTCCAGTTCATCAGATTGAGAGCCCAATCACAGCATCAAAGAATTCCTGAAGATTGAGACACTTATGCAACATATGGGAATCTTTATTAAGGAAACGTTTCGCCACACAGTGGCTTCATCAGTCCAATACAAAGCAGAAAGGTGTAAGGAGATTAGTAGTTTGAGGTAATCAGTCCCTCAGCCTGGAGTCGATGTGTTCAGTCCATCAGTCTTGTAGAATGTGCAGCATAGAGCCGTAGACGTGGCTTATATACTGTAGTCAGTGAGGCGAAGCAGGAGGAGGCGGGGTCATAGTGGTACCATCCACTAGTCGAAGTAGGTCTTCGTGCAAAGGTTGGACAAGTTTGAAGAATTCTTTGTACGGCCCTATGCTGTACATTCTACAAGATTGATGGACTGAACACATCAACTCCAGGCTGAGGGACTGATTACCTCAAACTACTCCTCTCCTTACACCTTTCTGCTTTGTATTGGACTGATGAAGCCACTGTGTGGTGAAACGTTTCCTTAAAGATTCCCATATGTTGCATAAGTGTCTCAATCTTCAACTTGCCGGTTTTCAAAACCATTCATCACATCAAAGAATTCCTCTTGAGGACACTACCACTGAATCCTAGATTGTGACTCTGTAATTGCGTCTGTATTCCAGTCTCCTGGCTGCCGTCCTGCCTTCTGTTTGTCTTGCCTCTACTACCATGTAGTTAAAGATAAGGATAAATGCGTCTGTACCCTTTGAAAAGAGGCTACATAGGGTGTTTTTATAATTTGTATTGTTACAGTTTTGGAAAACATTGTATTACATATTTTAAGGAAAAACCCATTGTTGCGCAAGGTATTTTGAGCAGACTAATTCTAGACCTTTAAAATTACTTGTAGTTCTTTCTTTCTTTCAACAAACTGGCCATATCCCACCAAGTCAGGGTGGCCCAAAAAGAAAAACAAAAGTTTCTCAATTTAGTACTAAATTTAGTACTATATACAGGAGAAGAGTTTACCAGCCCCTTGCTCCCGGCAGTTTAGTTGACTCTTACGACACGCATGGCTTACGGAGGAAGAATTCTGTTTCACTTTTCCATGGAGATAAACTGAAATAACAAGAACAAGAACTAGTAAGAAAATAGAAGAAAACCCAGAGGGGTGTATATATATATGCTTGAGACAGAAAAAAAGACACCAGCAATCCTACCATCATGTAAAACAATAACATACTTATAGTTCTAACATACATAAATTAGGTTTTGTGTGACAAATCAGGGTAGATTTTTTTTTTTTTTTGTATATTGTTAAAGTTACAGAATTGCTTAAAAGTAACTTAGAGTATAGTTTGACTAAATATATCAGTAAACAGAAGTAAGGTTAGTATGAAAAACGATTATGACACAATAGTTTCTTTAAGTATAAGACTTTATTTGCAAAAGCAGTATATAGGAGAGATGGTAGGAGATGAGTGTCGCACATAACTGCAGGTTGGCATCTAGACAGGCTGATGTATTACATTAAATTAAGAAGGTATTGGTTTGACGATATTCTTGAAGCAGTAGAAAGGTCACTGATATAGATGAGGAATAGCAGAGAGCCTAGGACACTGCCCTGAAGCAACTCCTTCCACAATCCCCTATGTTGATAAGTTAAGCTTAACACGTGTTATGGTCACGTGCTCGTGTCTATCATTGAGGTAAGACTATGTATGTAAGTATATGACCTCTGATTCTGTAGTGTTCTGATTTGATGAGTAACTGGAAGTAGGTGGTTGAAAATGGTGGATGTCTGAAGACTGAAAAATATAGTTTTCAAAATGGACTTTAAGAGGGACGGCTGGAGTTGAAAGTAGAGTAGACTTTAGTACTGTGGAATATTGGTACCGTGTCAGGTATAAAAGGGAAAGAAATGAAGAGGGAGGGAATAGAATAGGGGAACAAAGTTTTCATTAGGACTGAGAGGAGCAAGAATGTTGAGAGGTTAAGTTGATGATTTCAGTGGAAGGCTGGGTCTGTGTTGATATGTAGATAAGGGAGCCAGGTTGATGGAATGATGTGAGGGAAAGAAGGTAGCTGATAGTGACTTAGAATATGATGTTTAATAGGGAAATCAAAGAGAGACAGGTGATAAACAGTGGATTACGAGGAAGAAGGTTGACACAACAGAGGGTAGGCTGGCGGGAGATCTCCTTAATGACATGTATTTTTTCCTATGAAAACAGCTTGCAATTGGCTGTGGCTCATGACTTTTCTGTATACATTAGCCACCCAGGAATTATGCCTTCTCTTCTCAATCCTGCATTTCAAGAGATCTCTCCTCTAGCTTTTCTTTCTCTCCTATAGCCTTTCTAAAACTCTATCAGTCTGTATATATTTAATTCTTTTTCATCACATTGAGGAGAAAACTCTCAGCATCATTGATGACAGTCATCAACACCTTACTGCTTCTGTCTGCTGTTCCCAGCCAGCATGATCACTCAATTTCAAATTCAAAGTTTATTCTCTATAAGGATTACAATGCTGAGTTTACAGAATTTGGTTACTGTGTGGTTTACATGTAGTAAAATACTAATTACAGAGGGTGCCACTAGAACACCTAGCATGGCTAGGCATTTCGGGCAGACTTAGATTAATTCTTAACTTTAAAATATTACAAGTTAACCAAACCATACCCCGGCCGGGATTGAACCCGCGGTCAGAGAGTCTCTGACCGCGGGTTCAATCCCGGCCGGGGTATGGTTTGCAATCGTGTCATTACGATTTCGTGAGTTATTACAAATTATGAGGTAAGTTGGTATTATGGCTGAGTGACTAAATACTAGTTTGTGAGTTTAGCAATGTGAATGCTTTTGTTTTGGCACAATACATAGTTTCAGTATTGGAGTATCACAGGCCAACTTATGACTAGTTAGGATTCATTATTTTATGATTGAGGTTGATATTTCTGTTTATGGTCAAATGGGTGAGTGAGTGTAAGTGTGAACCACCAGGTGGTATTCGTGTAGTTAGTTGACAGGGTGTATCAGGGAGATAAGATGTTTTCTAATGGTAGTTTTGAAGGTGATGAATGTGTCTGCAGTTCTAGAGTTCTCAGGTAGGGTATTCCAGATTTTAGGGCCTTTGACATACATTGAATTTTTGTAAAGGTTTAGTCGGACACGGGGAATGTCATAGAGATGTTTGTGTCTGGTGTTGTGCCTGTGGGTTCTGTCACAACTATCAAGAAAGCATTTTAGGTCAAGGTTGATATTGGAATTTAAGGTCCTGTAGATGTAGATTGCACAGTAGTAAGTGTGGATGTACTGAACAGGGAGTAAGTTTAGATCTATGAAGAGTGGGGGGGGGGGTGTTGCCAGGGATGGGATTTAGTGATTATTCTTATTCACTCAGTTTAAATTCATTTTTTGTGAAGTACGTACAGATAATGTTTTTTACACATAATAAAATATTGTTAGACACAAAAAGAAGCCACTAACACGTAATGGATTTTGGACAATCCAAATGCTACACGTACCCTGTTCTTTTTCTAGTACCTGTCTTATACGTGTTAGTTTTTACTTGATGCTAGAGCTCCCCTTACTGTAGTTTCCTGAATAAATAAAATGATTGATTTTTTAAATGGGCAAAAATAAATTATTTTGCAAATAAGACAAGGGATCCCACTCACTAGTGATCCCACTCACTAGTGATCCCATTCACTAGTGATCCCACTCACTAGTGATCCCATTCACTAGTGATCCCACTCACTAGTGATCCCATTCACTAGTGATCCCACTCACTAGTGATCCCATTCACTAGTGATCCCACTCACTAGTGATCCCATTCACTAGTGATCCCATTCACTAGTGATCCCACTCACTAGTGATCCCATTCACTAGTGATCCCACTCACTAGTGATCCCACTCACTAGTGATCCCACTCACTAGTGATCCCACTCACTAGTGATCCCACTCACTAGTGATCCCACTCACTAGTGATCCCATTCACTAGTGATCCCACTCACTAGTGATCCCACTCACTAGTGATCCCACTCACTAGTGATCCCACTCACTAGTGATCCCACTCACTAGTGATCCCATTCGCTAGTGATCCCATTCGCTAGTGATCCCATTCACTAGTGATCCCATTCGCTAGTGATCCCATTCGCTAGTGATCCCATTCGCTAGTGATCCCATTCGCTAGTGATCCCATTCACTAGTGATCCCATTCGCTAGTGATCCCATTCGCTAGTGATCCCATTCGCTAATGATCCCACTCACAAGTGATCCCATTCACTAGTGATCCCATTCACTAGTGATCCCACTCACAAGTGATCCCACTCACAAGCGATCCCACTCAAAAGTGATCCCACTCAAAAGTGATCCCACTCACAAGTGATCCCACTCACAAGTGATCCCACTCACATGTCATCCCACTCACATGTCATCCCACTCACAAGTCATCCCACTCACAAGCCATCCCACTCACATGTCATCCCACTCACAAGTCATCCCACTCACAAGTCATCCCACTCACAAGCCATCCTATTCACCAGACACTACACCACACTTCTACAAGTGATCCCACTCACATGTCATCCCACTCACATGTCATCCCACTCACAAGTCATCCCACTCACAAGCCATCCCACTCACATGTCATCCCACTCACAAGTCATCCCACTCACAAGTCATCCCACTCAAGCCATCCCACTCACAAGTCATCCCACTCAAGCCATCCCACTCACAAGTCATCCTATTCACCAGACACTACACCACACTTCTACAAGTGATCCCACTCACAAGCCATCCCACTCACAAGCCATCCCACTCACAAGTTATCCCACTCATAAATATCCCACTCACAAGTTATCACACCAAGAAGTTGGTCATCATTAGTTAACTGTTTACCTGATAATTGTTTCAAGAATCATTCATTGTGCTCGAGGCCCAGTCCCAGACCAGGCCTGCCTGTTTACATCCTGATCAGTGAGGCTGTTGGTGCTTGCTGCATGCATTGCACCATAAGCCTGGCTGACCAGGACCTTGCTGCAGCTACTAAGCAAGGTCAATCTTCAAGTCAGTTAGGGGAGATCTGTTGATAATTCCCCTTATATTTAATGGGATAGGATTTAAAAGGCTTGGATCCTTTTTTATCACATGCACAGCCTAGTAGGCTTAATGGGATGGTGTTTGAAAGGCTTGGATCCTTTTTAATCACATGCACAGCCTAGTAGGCTTCATGGGATGGTGTTTGAAAGGCTTGGATCCTTTTTTATCACATGCACAGCCTAGTAGGCTTCATGGAATGGTGTTTGAAAGGCTTGGATCCTTTTTTATCACATGCACAGCATAGTGGGCTTCATGGAATGGTGTTTGAAAGGCTTGGATCCTTTTTTATCACATACACAGCATAGTGGGCTTCATGGAATGGTGTTTGAAAGGCTTGGATCCTTTTTTATCACATGCACAGCATAGTGGGCTTCATGGAATGGTGTTTGAAAGGCTTGGATCCTTTTTTATCACATGCACAGCCTAGTAGGCTTCATGGGATGGTGTTTGAAAGGCTTGGATCCTTTTTGTCAGATGCACAGCCTAGTAGGCTTCATGGGATGGTGTTTGAAAGGCTTGGATCCTTTTTTATCACATGCACAGTCTAGTAGGCTTCATGGGATGGTGTTTGAAAGGCTTGGATCCTTTTTTATCACATGCACAGCCTAGTAGGCTTCATGGGATGGTGTTTGAAAGGCTTGGATCCTTTTTGTCAGATGCACAGCCTAGTAGGCTTCATGGGATGGTGTTTGAAAGGCTTGGATCCTTTTTGTCAGATGCACAGCCTAGTAGTCCTCCCACTTTCATAAGGAAACTTACTTTGTACCGTTGGTGCAGAAAGTAGCAGTGTTTGCACATTTTTATGTACAAAAACCACGATATAACCAATTACAGGAATGCATATTTTAATTATATCAATGTGTTGGGACACGGAACTAATGGACCAATGTGTTTTGATATTGTATACAACAGCATTTTAATATTAGTTGATTTTTGTGGAAGCTGTGTAGTGCTTGTCGAGGATTTTCTGTATAAAACCTGAATGACAAGAATTATAATTCATTTATATTGTTGTAATGCTGTAGTGGATGTATAAAATATTTTTTTTTTGTAAATTTTTCTCTATATATCTTACTGTGAAGATTATTAACCAGGTTATTCCTCCCTGTACAGCACCAGACGTAGAAGTGGGAGGCTTCACTTGTTGGCCATATTATTCACAAATTAAGTGTCAGTTTTCTTCAATAGTTAACTGTGAAAATTACAATGGACCCAATATATCCGTCATCATCAGAATAAAGACCAACTTAGCCTGCAACAACACTATACATGAACTATCACAGAATGTGTTGATACCTACTGACCATAGGCCAGAAGTGACCTTCCACCAGGTTCTAGCTGGCCAAACCTACCAGGTCACAGCACAGGTACATAACACTGCTGGTGTTGGGAAATTATTTGTCTCTACCAGCGTCACTACTGCTGTTGCAAGTAAGTTTATTAACTTATCATAATTTGCCAAACTTTGTTCAGTCACTCAAAGTATTTAGTCATAACTTTGTTCAGTCACAGCTTTCTTAATTCACTAAGATGTTTAGTCTCGATTTTCTTCAGTCACTAAGATATTTAATCTCGGTTTTGTTCAGTCACTAAGATATTTAATCTCGGTTTTGTTCAGTCACTAAGATGTTTAGTCTCGATTTTCTTCAGTCACTAAGATGTTTACTCTCGGTTTTGTTCAGTCACTAAGATATTTAATCTCGGTTTTCTTCAGTCACTAAGATGTTTAGTCTCGATTTTCTTCAGTCACTAAGATGTTTACTCTCGGTTTTGTTCAGTCACTAAGATATTTAATCTCGGTTTTCTTCAGTCACTAAGATGTTTAGTCTCGATTTTCTTCAGTCAATAAGATATTTAATCTCGGTTTTGTTCAGTCATTAAGATATTTAATCTCGGTTGTGTTCAGTCCAAGAATTTGTATTGATAAAGCCACTGGATGGCGAAACGTCTGCAATAAAGATAACCAGATGTTGCACAAGTGTCTTAACTTTCATCTTGTCAGTATTGTATACCAGTCTTGCACAAGACAGCAATGCCTAAGCGTATGTAATGAGGCAAATAGATTACTGGGATTTATATCAAGAAGTGTAAGCAACAGAAGTCCAGAGGTCATACTGCAGCTTTATACATCATTAGTAAGGCCTCACCTAGATTATGCAGCTCAATTCTGGTCTCCATATTACAGAATGGACATAAATTCGTTAGAAAACATTCAGCGTAGGATGACTAAATTAATACATAGCATTAGAAATCTTCCTTATGAAGAAAGATTGAAGACTCTTAAGTTACATTCACTTGTTAGACGAAGAATGAGGGGAGACCTGATCGAAGTGTATAAGTGGAAGATAGGTATTAATAAAGGGGATATTAACAAGGTCTTGAGGATATCTCTCCAAGAGAGAACCCGCAGTAATGGATTTAAATTAGATAAGTTTAGATTTAGAAAGGACATAGGAAAGTATTGGTTTGGAAATAGGGTAGTTGATGAGTGGAACAGTCTACCTAGTTGGGTTATTGAGGCTAGGACTTTGGGTAGTTTCAAATTTAGGTTGGATAAGTACATGAGTGGGAGGGGTTGGATTTGAGTGCGACTTGCACATCGGAGCTTGTTTCTTGGGTGGCATTGAAAATTGGGTTGGTCAAATGTTTGTTAGTGGGATGAATTGTAAAGGACCTGCCTAGTATGGGCCAACAGGCCTGCTGCAGTGTTCCTCATTTCTTATGTTCTTATGTTCTTATATCTAGTCTCGGTTTTGTTCAGTCACTAAGATGTTTAGTCATCAAAATGTTCAGTCATAAATTTGTTCAGTCACTAAGATGTTCAGTCATAACTGTTCAGTCACAACTTTGTTCAGTCACAAATATTTGTCAGCTGTGTTACAGTATTAGCAAACATATGTTTCCAGCAGAGCTCAGGTGTTGTTGGAAAACCTGCTGCTTGTGTTTACTGTCACGTGTTACTACATTTGTGTCACATGTTTACTGTTACGTGTTACTACATTTGTGTCACATGTTTACTGTCACATGTTACTACATCCGTGTATCACATGTTACTACACTGGTTACTATTTTCGTGTATCACTTGTTTATTACCACAGGTAACTTCTCTCATGTATCACATTTACTACTAAAGGTTCCTTCACCTATGTATCACATATTTACTAAGCTCAGGTCATTACATCCATGTATCACATAATTTTGTTTACCCCCAGAGCCACCACCAGTACAAAACCTGACAAGTGCTGTGATAGACACTACTACAGTTCAACTGTTATGGAATGATCCCTGTCCTAGTAATGGTGAAATTACTTACTATTATGTTAATAATCAGCACTTATACATTAAAGACGCAAAGTGCAACACATCAAGGGTGTTTGATCGCTGCTACGGCATCACAGGTTTAACCCTTGGTCAAACTTACTACTTCAAGGTAAGTCTTTTATAGAACATGCCATAGTAAATTTGATCATTCAAAAGTATTAATCTGTGGCCAGATAGAAAACCATAAAGAACATTAACTTTTGTCCTTAAGATAACTTGACAGATACTTTTTGAAGGCTTATAGATAAAACATCTAAGGAAGATAAACAGTGATAGTTTATGCTACGTAAATATTGCAGAATGAAAAAAATGAAGCATACATTTTTTGTTCTAAGATTAAAAGGCAGACATAGATTAAACTACAATGTGAGTATTATGTATATGAAGAGTGGTGTATACAGCTGTAAGGTTAAGTAAATTTATTGAGGTACAGGTACACATAAATACAGTTACGTAAATTATCATACATAGCAGCATACGTGTAGATTATCTAGGATAACCTAAAAAATAAACTCAGACGAAATAGTCACTTTTGACTTTTTTTTTAGGTTATCCTAGATAATCTACGCATATGCTATGTATGATAATTTATGTAACTGTTATTATATGTACCTGTACCTTAATAAACTTACTGGGGTCCTCAGATCAACCCACAAAAATATCAGTAGATGAGAGAGATGGAACTTAGGTCTGTCTCTTCTATGGATATTTTTGTGGCAAATGATCTGAAAATAGACTTCTGGTCACATACATGTAAGATGAGCAACTTTACTCTGCACTACCACAAAACTTTTGGTAGAAGGGAGGCGTGTATCTTCATGTTACAGATGCTGGTATTGCATGTATCATTTTTACTCCTTGTATCATTACACTGTTCCTCATTGCTCCTCTATGTATCACGTTACAAGATTCCTCTTCCATGTATAACATTACAAGATTGCTCCTCCATGTATCACGTAACGTGATACTTGGAGGAGCAATCTTGTAACGTAATACGTGGAAGAGCAACCTTGTAACAAGGTTGCTCTTCCATGTATCATGTTACAAAATTGCTCCTCCATGTATCACTTTACAAGATTGCTCCTCCATGTATAACGTTACAAGATTACTCCTCCATGTATCACATTACAAGATTGCTCCTCCATGTATCACGTTACAAGATTGCTCCTCCATGTATCACGTTACAAGTAAGATTATTCCTTCATGCTTCATGTTACAAGTAAGATTATTCCTCCATGTATCATGTTACAGGTAAGATTGCTCCTTCATGTATCATGTTACAAATAAGAATATTCCCCCATTGGAAAACCAAGTTTTCCAATGGGAAACGGAAAACAATGTGATGTTCAATGAAGAAAAATTTCAACTACTCCGTTATGGAAAACTGGAGGAGATAATAATTAGAACCGAGTATACTACAAACTCTAATCACACAGTAGAGCGGTAATGGGAGTGGTAATGTCTTAGTTACTTAGGATCTCACCTTCAAGGATCACAACAGTGCCACGATCACAATTGCGAAGATAATGATAGATGGATAATGAGAACGTTCAAACCAAGAGATGCCAAGCCATTGATGATCCTTTTCAGATCATTTATTCTCCCTAGACTGGAATACTGCTATACATTAACATCTCCGTTCAAAGTAGGTGAAATTTCAGATCTAGATAATGTACAGAGAACCTTTACTGCACATATAAGTTCCATCAAACACCTTAGCTACTGGAAACGCTTGGAAGCACTTGACTTGTACTCACTGGAATGCAGGAGAGAGAGAGAGATATCATAATCTACACTTGGAAAATCCTAGAAGGAATGGTTTCCGAATCTGCACACAGAAATCACTCCTTACAAAAGTAAAAAACTGGACAGGCGATGCAACACCCCCAGTGAAAAGTAGGGACGCCATTGGTACGCTAAGAGAAAACACAATAAGTGTCCGGGGCCCAAGACTGTTCAGCAGCCTCCCACCATGCATAAGGGGAATTACCAATAGACCCCTGGCTACCTTCAAGAGTGAGCTGGACAGATAGTCGGTACCGGATCAGCCGGGCTGTGGTTCATACGTTGGACTACGTGCAGCCAGCAGTAACAGCCTGGTTGATCAGGCCCTGATCCACCGGGAACCCTGGTCGTGGACCGGGCCGCGGGGGAGTTGAGCCCCGGAATAGCCTCCAGGTAGACTCCAGGTAGGTACACAATGGATTGATTAACATTTGAGAAGATAACAGATATTGAAAGTATACATTGATTATAATGTATTACCAAAGTTAGTAATATTGAGCGAATACGTGTATATTTTTTACATATTTATGATGGGCTGGGATAGGTTAGAGAGATAGGGTGTTTTTAATGGTAGTTTTGAAAATGCTGGTTGATTCAGTAGTTCTGGAGATTTCTGGCAGAGTTCCACATTTTGGGCCCTTTTATGTACACTGAATTTTTGAAGAAATTTAGCCAGACACGGGAAGTGTCAGATTTTTGTGTCTAATATTATGACTATGGGTCCTATTGTAACTGTTAAGAAAGCACTTCATGTCAGGGTTTATATTGTGATGAATGGTTTCAAAAACCGACAAGTTGAAGGATTTATATTGGAATTATTTGTTCTGTAAATATAGGTTACACAGTAGTATGTGTTGTATAGTGAGTAGGTTTAGGTCTCTGAACAGTGGGGGGGGAGGGGGGTATTCTCTAGTAGTGGATTGTGTGATCATTCTCACTGCAGCTTTTTGTTGGGTTATTATTGGCTTTAGGTGATTTACCGTTGTGGAACCTCAGGCACAGATAGCATAGGTGAGGTAGGGGTAGATCAGAGAATTGTATAGTAATGCTCTTTGTGTTACATAGTAACATATCTTTGAGAGGATGCTTACTGTTTTAGATACTTTTTTTGTAATGTTTTGGATATGGGTTTGTTTTCAAGTTTCTGTCCGGGGCAATCCAAAAATTTTTTCCCTCATTTGTTTACAACAAAATTTTGAAAATAAAATTCTTGGGGTATCACTTTATGGTCCAAAATAATTAGAAATTTTTTCTATATTTACTGTACTTATTGGGTCCCCCAGGTTAAATTTTTTAACTATTCTTTTAACAATATTGATAAACATTACTTGTAATCAAACTTCCCTTGGAAACACAACTTACTCTGGTAATACCAAAACTTATTTTGGTAATACCAACATTATTTTTGGTAAAAAACATTACTTGGTAAACCAAATTCTCTGGAAAACCCAACATTACTTTGTAATACAAACATTTCTTGGAAAACCCAACATTATTTTTGTAATCCCAACTTTACTCGGGAAACACCAAATTACTTGGAATACCAAACATTACCTGGTAATCCCAACATTACTCTGGTAATCCCAACATTACTTGGTAAACCAACATTTTTGGGTAAACCAACTTACTTTATAATAACAACATTTTTTTCTGGTATCCCAAATTACCTGGAAATACCAACATTCCCTTTGGTAAACCAAACTTATTTTGTAACACCAACTTTACTCGGGAAAATACCCATTACTTGGTAAACCAAATTACTTGGAAAACCCCCCCAAATTACTCTGGAAATACCAACTTTAAATTGGGTAACCAAATTCTTGGAATCCCACATTACTCTGGAATCCCAAATTTTTTTGGAAAACCCCCAAAACATTCTCTGGAATAAACATTACTTGGTTACCACATTCCCTTGGTAATAAACATTATTTGGGTAATAAACTTATTTGGGTAATACCAACTTACTCTGGTAATTTTCCAACTTTACTTTGGTAATCCCAACATTACTCTGGAAATAAAAAACATTACTCGGGTAATCCCAAAATTTACCGTTAACCCCAATTACTTGGTTCCCCAAATTACTCGGTAATATAACATTCTGGGGGAAAAAAACATTACTCGGGTAATCCAATTACTTGGTAATACCAAATTATCTGGAAAACCCCAACATTACTCGGGTAAAAAATTACTTGGTAATACAACTTACTCGGAAAACCCAAACATTACTCGGGTAATACCAACATTACTTGGTAAAAACCAACTTTTTGGGTAATAAAAACATTACTCGGTATACCAATTTTTCTTGGGTAATACCAACTTTTACTTGGTAATACCAACATTCTCTGAAATACAACATACTCGGGAAATTCCCCAAAAATCTTGGTAATACCCATTCTCTGGTAATCCCAACTTTACTCGGGGAAATCCAAACATTACTCTGGTAATCCCAAATTTATTTGGAAATACAATTACCTGGTAAACCAACATTTTTCTGGTAATACAAAAATTCTCTGGTAATACCAAACATTATCGGGAATACCAACTTACTCTGGAAAACAACTTTTTACTTGGTAATACCCAACTCTGGTAATACCAAACATTATTTGGGTAATCCCAACATTTCTGGTAATCCCAAAATTCTCTGGTATCCCCCAACTTTTAATCTGGTAATCCCCAAACTTACTCTGGAAAACCACATTATCTGGAAATCCACTTTTACCTGGAAAACCCACATTACTCTGGTTTTTCCACATTACTCTGGAAATCCAACATTATCTGGTAATTTCCAACTTACCTGGTAATACCAACTTTTCTTGGTAATACCAAACATTATCGGTTTTTACCAACTTTTTCTTTGAATCCCAAATTATTTTGTAATCCCAGCTTTATTGGTAATACCACATTCTCTGGTAATACAGCATTCTCTGTATACCAACTACTTGGTAATCCAACATTCTTGGAAAATTCCCAAACTTCCCTTGGTAATAAAAACATTACTCTGGTAATACCAACATTACTTGTAAACCAACTTTCTCGGGTAACCCCAACTTCTTTGTAATCCCCAACATTCTCGGAAAACCCCAACTTACTCTGGTAAACCAACCCTTACTCTGGTAAACCAACATTTTTTTGTATACCAACATTCTCTGGTAACAAAATTTTTGGAAAACCCCAAAACTTTACTTTAGATCCACTTTACTCTGGTAATACCAACTTTACTCGGGAAATCCCAACTTCTCTGGTAATCCAACATTACTCGGTAATACCAAAATTTACTTTGGTAATCAACTTTACTTTTGTAATCCAACAAAATTTGTAATACCA